CCTCCTCCCAGTCTGCCCCTCCCACAGCCAGGGACCCCTAGAGCCAGCCCAAGGCTTCCTGTCCGTTCTCCCTGCTCTGACCCCCAAGAAGGTCAGAGGCGAAGTCATCTTCACAGGGGCCTGGAAACCCCAGAGATGGCACCCAGCCTCACTCTGGACAGGCCTGGAATATGTGCTTTCTTTTCCCTCACAGCGTTCCTGTAAGGAAGGTGCTGCTGCAGGCCAGGGAGGGAAACTGAGGCATGAGAGGGAGACCAGTGGATGTGGGCACTGACGGTCTGGCCCACGCCTGTAGCCACTCCAGGGCTCCATAGCCCAACCTCCCTCTCTTCTCTTCCGGAAGGACCCCGTGGGTGCTCTGGTTCCCACCAGGACCCAGGGCTGAGTGGAGTTGGCATCAAGCCTCAGGCTCTGCCTGAAACCAAGTGCAGGCCTGACGTCAGCCAGGCCTTGTGGGGGGCACCCCTGATAGTCACCCCCACTGCACACAGAGGCCTTGCCAAAGCCACCCCGCACTCCTCACCTCTTTAGGCCAGATCACCAGTGCCAAGGTCACACATCACTGAGGACCTGGTGACCAGGAGCCCTGTGGCCACTAGGTGGCACCATAAGCACAGAAACGCGGGTGACCAGTGGCCTCCCTGCCACCTGCCCCAGACAGTTTCACCACATACCAGCACTCTAGGACGCTGGGACAGGAGGACCACAGGTTTAAGTCCAGCCTGGCCAATTTAGCCACTTAGCAAGACCCTGTCTCAAAATTGAAAAAGGGCTGGGATGGAACTCAGTGCAAAGTTCCTCCTGGGTTAAATTTCCAGGACCACTAAAAAAAACCCCTGCATGGGGCTGGGGATTTGGCTCAGTGGCATAAGCACCTGCCTTGCAAGCAGGCAGTCATGAGTTCAATCCCCGGTACCGATTTAAAAAAACAAAACAAAACCCTGCATCTTATAGACGGGCACCTTATCTCCAGCCAGGACCCCACCCTCCCCCCAGGAGTCCTGCTGCCAGCAGTCACTGCACCCCTGCGTTGGTGTATGCTCACAAAAACATTTCCACATCTGCAGCAGACAAGAGACAACACCGAGCACTGGCATGTTTTATTTTACGTAAGTGGCTCAGGGTGCCCTCAGTTGCTCAGCCCTCCAGGACCCCACATCTCACTCTTCCACAGTGCTCCCCACACTGCAGGAAGCTTAAGCAGCCCAGCAATGTAATTCCCAGCCCAGGAATAAACCCAGTGGAGCCCAGAGGATCTTCCCCAGGAGACCACTGGGAAGATGATATAATTCCAGGCTTGCACGATGCTTAGAACAGGCTCAGTGTGGTGGTGGTATTCCCAGCACTCGAGGCTGAGGCAGGGGGATCACAAGTTCAGGGCTTGCCTAGGTTACAACATGAAACTGTCCCCCCAAAAATAAATGAAGAGAGATGCTCAGGACAGGGCTTGCAGGTTGGGAGCACTCACTAATTAGGATCGCTACTCTGTATCCGTGTGGGTCCCCCATCTGCTCTAAGGATACACCCTTCGGGGAGCAGGGGACAGAGCCACAGCCACTGTCACATGACCCCAGGGTGGGGGCAGAGCACTGCGAGCCAGGCCTCTTCCTAGGCCCAGAGCTCCCAGCTCTCCAGGGTGGTGGCTTCCCGAAGTCACCCTGCTGGCTTGCAGCAGGGTCCAGAAAGGAACTTGAGTCTGCCAACCACTGCTGCCAATCTACCCTGCCCCCACAGCCCCTGCAGTGGCCCAGAGCAGTCACACCGCAGGTGGTGGGGACACTTCAGCAAGGACACCACTGTGACATCCATGACTAGAAGGATGAGGCCCTGGGGCTGTTGAACAGCTTCATAAGGGCACAGAGGAGAAAACAAAGCAAGTTTATCCTCACAGAGAGCGAAACACAATCCATGATTATAAATATTTCATGGGCAAAGGCAGTGGGTGGAGTGGACAGCAAGTGAAGTCCCCGGCTGCAAAGCGATCGGGCAGCGGGCACGGCAGCCAGGCAGGGCTATTCTGGGCAGTGTGGGGCGAGGCCTGCGTCACAGCCCCGGACACCTGGTTGCACAGAAACCATAGCCTTCCGGTGGACAGTCCAGAACACCTTGGAACAAACTCTCACACCCATGAAGTGAGAGAGGACAGGGCCTGACACGAGGAAGAAGCAAGCAGAGAAGCTGGAGGTCAAGCTGCCCTGGGTAGAGTGATGCTCCATCCCGGGCACTGCCAGGTTGAAAGCAAGTCCCCTGCCTGTGCCCCAGCCGGGCCCCTCCTGCCACAGCCTGTGGGGGGACAGCAGACAGTGGGCAACTTCAAGCCCCAGGTCCCACCAAGGCAGTGCAGTGACTGCACCACAGGGCAGCCCACTGAGGAGAGTGGTACTAGGCACCCAGACTCCAGCAGCCCTTGCTGAAGGCGGTGCCCAGAGCACGGGAAGCCACGCTCAGGACCCTGGGCAGCAACACACTCCTCGGCCAGATGATCTGATGCCAGCAGCCCTGCCTCCTGGCATGAGCACCAAGTAGAGGCACCATAGGGTGCCCCAGGGCATGGAAGACTGCAGGGGCACAGCTACCACAGAACCGTGCCTTGGCAATACTGGGACACCCCAGACGGGCAGCTGGGGTCCATGAGAAACCACCTTGCCTCTAATTCCAGGTCCTCCCAGAAAGATGGGACTGATGCTTGCAAAGCCTCAGGTCTCTGAGGGACCCGGGCACACATACATCCCTGTATCTGCAAGGTGCACCCTGATTCCAAAAAAGAGACTGTTCCTACCCAGCTGTGGCCACATGGCTCTTGAATCCTCAATGACAAGGTGTCCCTGCCAGCCTGCAGGCCTCCTGGAGGTTCTGACTTGGTGCTTAGTGAGATCACCCACACAGGTGCAGGACGCAGAAGCCTTGGGTTCACGGTGGCCTTCGCCACCACATGACCCATGGCCAAGTCTCTGCAAGGGGCTCCCGCCCTGCTCTGACACCACTGGCCTGTCCTCTCCACCTTCCACTATCTTCTCTCTCTACCACCCACCCCTGCTTCCCAAATACCCTGCATGGGCTGAGCACGCTTGTCATAAAACCTTCCCAGGGCTCGAGATGGTGCAGCAGAGGAGCTGCCCCTGTCCTAGCTGTGGCCATGGGGACAAAAGCCAGGCCCAGTCCACACCAGGCAGATGCTCTACCACCCAGCCTCCTCCCCGGCCTTTTCATTTGGAGAAAGTTTCCAAGTTACCCATCCTGGGCTCGAACTTGCAATCCTCCTGCCTCCCAAGTAGCTGGCCACACATGTGCCAGCACACTAGGCTACAGGTAAACCCTAAATGTCCTCCCAGAGGCTCGTATGTCACAGGTTTGGCCCCCAACCCCCCGCAGTAGAGAAAGCCTCAAAGGTGAGGACTACTGGATGGCCTTCAGGTCACGCCCTTCAAGGGGACAGCAGGACCGAGCTCTTCCTTTCCTGCCTTCTGGTGGAATCTGAGCAGCTGCCCACGGGCCACGCACGGGCTGGCTGGGCCTGACTGAAGCCTCAGTCTCTTCACGAGCTGCCAATCCCAAGGTCTGAGATGCTGACAGAAAGCTGACACGCACATGGCCCACCAGCCCACCCACACCATGCTCCCCGCTCCAAGGAACGGGCTTCCCTCTGTCCTGCCCCACCCTCCCTCCGCCCACTCTGCACCCACCACATCTCCCATCCTGTCACCCAATACTACTCATCCATTTTACTATGACCAGGGAATGAGTGCACCAAGCATGCAGCTCACCCAGTTCCCAGGGGTGCTCTCCTGGGCTCCCCAGGGGTCTCCAACACCCCATCCTCAGCCTCTCCCAGGCAGCCCTGTGGCCTCCGTCATGAGGCTGGTGGGGAACCCTCTCCCTGGAAAGTGGCACTGTAATCCGTCAGCGCCCCGCCACACTATGGCTTTCATCTGAGGCATCCCTGGGCTCATGCCAGTTTCCCATGTGACACTGTTAAGCTCCACAAGGACAAGAGCCGCCCCTCTCTTAGTCACTTTTGTTTCCTGGAGCTGGCATAGTCACAGGACAGGAAATGGCTCAGCCATGCTGATTGCTTTCTCCCCCAGGTACTATGCAAAGCACTCGGAGGCAATGAGCTCACTTAACCCTGCCAGGTAGGGGCCACTGTTACATCCACATCTTCCAGCAAGGACCTGAGGCACACAGGGTCAGATAACCTGTGCAAGGCCTCACTGGGCTCTGGGGGGAGCGGGGTTCACATCCGGCAGCCCAGCTGCAGAGCTGTGCTCCTGACCAGGACATGACCTGGTGTCTGAGGCCGCTGCAGTGGCTGACAAGTACCCACGGGGTGGAGGCAAAGGAATGCAGACAGGGGCCGAGCTCCTGTACAGAAACCAAGCCAGCACCTAGCACCTCACCTCTCCACAGAGACCAATGAATGAACGGAAGACGAACCGTCATGGAGTCACCAGCACAGGCCTGATACTATGTCTTCTGCAAAGCAGGACCCATCCATCTCCCTGCAGCCCTGGGCACAAAGCAGGGCACTGACTGACACCCCAAGGAAAGGTAGGGTGCTGTCTGGGTCTTGAAGCCCACAGATCATGGCCCAGCTCACATTCCAGCGGGCCAGTCATCTCTTTTTCGAGACACGGTCCCACTAAAATTGTTCATTGCCCAGGCTGGCCTCAAACTCACAGCAATGCTCCTGCCTCAGCCTCCTGAGTGCTGGGATTACAGACATGTATCACCTTTCCCAGTCCCTGTGATCTTTATAACCATACAACCACTACTTGAGCCCTCTAAAACAGGATGAGATGCTACACGTGAGCAAACAAAGCAAAACTTTGAGTTAGAAAGTGGCAGACTCCACAGCACATAAATGGACAGCTGATTTGTACTGTTTCCCAAGCCTGCCAAACCTGGGTAAACTCATGCCACGGGGCCCCAACAAGAAAAGCAGGACGCAGGCTGTCACCCCATGCCTCATGGTCCTAACCCCGATGCACAGGAAACAGCCGTGCACAACAATGTTTATTCCCTCAGAGGACACCATTCCCCTCTGGAGGGCACTGTCCACACAGCTGTGTGCAGCTGCAACTGCACGTTCACACGAAGTTCTGTGCTATCGCCAGCACCTTGGAGTACTCGCCCTCCTTCCGGCGCAGGCTCGAGGGCACTGGCACTTTAATCCGAGTGCCCACAGGGTTGCCATTGTCCTCAATGAGGACCACGTTGTTGGAGTCGAACCTGGGGCTCATCTGGGGGCCAGGCATGCGGTGCCCCACGATGAGCGCCTTCTTCTTCTGCCCCTTGATGGCCAACAGGATCCTGTCGCCCACCTTGCCCACCCCGTTCTTGTTGTAGACGTGGATGCACCGGGGAGGACGGTGGTAAGGCGTGTTGCCCAGGGCACTGTTGTCCACCACACGCACCCGTGTCATCTTCTGGATTGCAGCGAGGCTGCCCATGGTGCTGGGGACAGAGAACAACGGATGGGGTCCTGAGCCAAGGTCAGAGGCCCAAGAAGGCCGGAGAGATGGCACACATGCACACGCGTACACACACTCACACACACGCACACGCACACACACACAGTCATATACACAGGCTGAGCCCTTGAAGACTTCTCTACTAGTGTTTCTTCCTAGCTGAGAGCTTCTTGTGCCAAGGTGTCAATCTGGATAGATTTTTTTTTAAAAATCTTGCTGTGCAGCCCAGGCCAGCCTCAAACTTGCAGCATTCTACCTGGCTCAGCCTCATGCATGCTGGGATTACAGGCATGATCTACCATGCCCGACTCTTGATTTGGATACATTTTTAAGAGACAATATACTTCACTGTGTCTTAATTTAAAACCTTTGAAGAACCCCCCCCCTCGCGAGTCAGGCGCCCGCCCACCTCCCCTGAGAAACCTGCCTCCCAGATCCTTCCCCCATTCGTCTACAGCAGGGTGAGCGGGACTGCCAAGGAGTCCCCAGTCAGATGCGGCAAGGCCACCGTGCTCTATGGGGCCTGCGTAATTACATGGAGGGTTTACTTCTTTTCCTCTTTCACTTAGCTCAAACTTACTCTGCAGAGCCTGGTTCTTTTCCCACCTTTAATAAAACTTTGCTACCATTAAAAAAAAAAAATGCACCACACTGGACAGAAGCTGAAGGAAGCAGGCATGGAGATGTATGCCTGTATCCCAGCGCTCCGGGAGGCTGGGCGGTAGGACTGTTGCAAGTTCCAGTCCAGACTGGGCAACTTAGAGAGCTATTGTCTCAATAATTAAAAACAGGAAAAAAAAAAAAAAAAAAGCATGAAAACTTTTGCAGAAAGCCTATTAAAGGCAGGTACTGTATTACTGATGTGGTCACTGAGGGCTTCAAAATGACTCTCAGAGATCCAAGTGAACAGGGCTCCTGTCCTGGTCCATGTCTTCTACCCCCACAGCCTACAGGTAAAGCCCACCTCCAGGCCCACCCCTCTCCCACATGCTGCCCAGAGTCCCTGCAATATGCCCAGACAAAGGCCCGGGGGCACCAGGCTGCCTTTCCTCCCGAGGTGGCTTCTCTAGGGACTCCAGCTCCCACCACACCCCCTGCCCTGACATCCCCAGGCCTCGTCCCAGGCTCCGTCCTTCCTCTCCACCCCCACACCCACCTTCTTCCAGCAGCTCCCTCTATACTGGGACACACGCAAAAGTGTCCTCCAGGCCACTACACTGCGCCCTGTAGAGATGAGCCCTCCAGAGTTTAAAGCATAGCTGCCTCCTGCTTACAGCGTCAGTGATTCCCCACCATCCATGTGGCCCTGCTCCCTGTGCCCAGGCAAGCCCCGAATGGACCCTGCACCTGGAGCAGTGGGAATTCCAGGTGCTCCAGGTTCACCCTCTCCCAGCCCCAGGGGCCTGACCTGTATCTCCCTCCCTTCCTCCCCTCCTCCATCAGCAGGTCCTATCTCAGGCCTTTGGAAACCACCACACTTGTCATATCTTCTTGGTCATCTGTTTTTAAGCTTCTCCCTGTAGTCCCCAGAGAAGTCTACACTGCAAGAAACAATTCCCATGCAGGCCTGAGGTCAGCAAATGCCTGCTTGGGCACCTGCACAGGGCCTTCCTGTTCAGTCACCAGGCCCGCGACACCTGAGCACCCCCGAAGCATGTACTGTTTTTGTTATGAAATGAAATTTCCATCCTTCATCCTTTCTATCCAGAAAGTTCTGATGCCTGGAGAATGTGGCATTGAGAGATGGCAGATTCACAGGGGCTGGGTCTTGCAGGGGCTGAAAAGCACCAGCTACGCCCCTCTGCCATCTCCCATGACATTCCCACCATGACCCAGACAGAACTGTCACCTACTTACCTCCTCCCCACTCCTGACCAAAGCCCGGCTCAGCCTAATGCCTTCAGCTTCCCAAACCCAGGACCACCCCCAAGGTTCCACCGACTCTTGTCACCCTGTTTTGTGGGCCTGCTGGGAGGTCTTAAGTCACCTGAAAGCATGCTGGCCAAGTGCTCTGCTGACGTAGGCCAAGGGGCCCCGCAGGGCAAGAGGGGCAGCCATGGATTCCACAGCGTAGTCCTGCCAGGAGAAGGGAGAAGCATGGTTAGGGCAGAGTCCTGTGGAGCCAGGTTTCTTTGGGGACGTGTGTGGGAGACGGTGCTTCTTGAACAAGATCATTATCACTAAATATAAATCCCAGTGGTTACAAGAGAGAGGATGAGCCCGAGCTCCTGCCCCAACTGCTGAGTCACGGCTGACCTGGGTCAGGGCAGACTGGACCTCAGAGCTATTTGAAGTGATAATGATGGCCACCACTGCATGGATCCACTGGCCCCCCAGCTGTCTCCCTAATAACCCCAAGAGACTGCAGACTCCCCACGGATACTGTGGGCTTTCTGGAGTCAGCCCTTTCACCTCTAAGGGAGGGCGTCACCTAAGTACTACCAGCCACCTCGTCACCTCTCCCCCAAATGCAAAGCCAAAACAGCTGTCTGGCTCAAGGTCAGCAGAGCAGAGCCCACTGTGGCCCTTGTGAAGTCACTGGCCAAAGTCTGTACTTGGGTCAGTGTCCCAAACACCACAGAATCACAGAAAAGCTGCCTACATCATTTGGAAAACCAAGCACTAAGACCAACCCAGTATGTGTGGTTTCAGCTTGGAGGACACAGATGTCACCAGGACCTGTAATACCTGAGCATCACCAGGAGTCTCCTTAGGAAAAGCCTCCAGAGCTGGTATAGAGTGGTACAGCACACCTGCAATCAATCCCAGCACTAGGGAGGCTGAGGCAGGAGGATTCAGGGCTAGACTGGACTACACAGTGAGATCCTGTCTCAAAAATACCAAAAAAACCCTCCTACCACATCTGCCCCTACCCACAATGTCTGTCTGCAGCAAGCCTCTCTGTGAGCCAAGCCTCTAACCAGAATGTTTACACACAGCTTTCCCCTGCACAAGTTCAAGGCTCTCAGATAAGACTTTATTTAATGAAGGTGGGGAGGGACTCACTGTTTACCTCCTCAGGAAAAGCCAGACATTCCATTCACGAAAAGTAACTCCAGTTCAGCCCCAACTCCAGGCCTGCTCCCAAGTGTCTCCCCAAGATAACACATAAAGCACAGGCCAAATGTAATTATGATCCAAAAATTAAGTACAAAAGAAGGCCATTAACCTAGGAAATTACTAGCACCAACACACAGGACCAGAGACAACCAGAGGCAGTCTGCTCCAATCACAGCCAGACAACCTGGATGGTACAACCAATGCGCCTGGCTCCCCACTTCACCAGAGACACTGGCGAGACCTGCTCGAAGGTGGCCAGGAGTGGCCAGGAAGGTTCAGACACAGAGCATCCAGGCACCTGCCTGATTCTGCAGAGTATCATTGCTCCAATCCAAATCTAGGCCTCCTCTCCATGCTACAGCTGCCCTCTCTACCCACCCCAGGTCTCCTTCAGCACCAGCCCACCTCCTCTAGAAGCCAGTGAAGATCTGCAGGCTCACCACCACCCTCCTACACACCAGGAACAGCCATACCCGGGCTGGTGCAGCCCTCACCATCAGGCAGAGACACTGAATAAACTAGAGATTTTTGAGATAAGGCTAATGTCCCCTGCATCCCATTCCTTGCTGCTTCCTCTCCAGAACTCAGAAACTACAGAGGAGCTCATGCATGGCACCTGATCTGGCTGCAGAGTACAGGCCACACGCACCAGGTGGCACCCTGGCCTCAAATACAAGAGTGACACCGGCATGCCTGCAGGGAGCACATCCACTATCAGAAGAAAAGGCCAACTCAACAACTTTCAGTAGCTCGCAATGGATGTGACATTGACCCCTGGCCCAAGCAGCAAATAGATAATACTAACCATTTCTATTGCTTACCCCGCCAAAAAACTCCAAAACAAAATACTGTTTCTCCCTCCTCCTCTATCACAATGGATCCTGATAAACAGAAAGAGTGCAATAAACACTTCTTCATCAAATAAATGAAGCAAGCTGGGTACAGAGGTACATGCCTATAATCCCAGCACTCGGAAGGCTGAGGCAGAAGGAATGAAGACTCCAGCCCAGCCAGGGATACACAGCAAGTTCAAGACTGGCTCGGACTACAGTGGAACCCTGTCTCAAAAACAAAACAAATGACAATCAATGTAGAAATAACAAATGAGGTAGCCAAGAGGAACACAGGCCCCCATCTTGACCATGGCTGCAGGCAGGGCAACCCAAGGAAGGGGCCCTGTCTACAGGGTGGGACCCACGACCTCACAAGCCCCAGGCTTTGAGAGATGCTGGTGATCAGAACAACCCCAGGGTCACTTGCAGGGCCCTGGAGTCATCTTCCAGCCGGCTGCCACACTGCCTGCTGTGTAAGTACCCCCTCCCACCACTAAATAGTGTTCTGTATCAGGAAGAGTATGAGAGGCAGCAAACCTCTTCAGAGTGACTCTGGTGGCCCTTCGGGTTCTTCATGGTATAGACAGATATACCCTCTACTTCACACCTAGTCTACACATAATGCTTTGCTCTAAGCCTGGTGTCAGGCAGGAAGTGAAATCTGATGCTGCCACCTTCTCTACACTCTCCTGCTTCCCGATGGCACCCTCCCAACTCAGAAAGTAAGCCACAACCTCTGCCTTCAGGGTGATGGGTGAAATGACTTGATGCTCACTTCCTGCCTTGGCTGACACTACCTACCCCGCCTTCAGCTGTGGGGGTCAGGGACACACAGGATCCCTCACTTGGGTCAGCCTCCACAGCCACTGCTGGATGATGGCTGTGGGACCAGGGACTGTGGGGCCCAGCTCAGCGCCACCCCCTTTGGGTCCAGAACAGTGCGCATACACATCTAGAGCTTGCAGACCATGCCAGAAGTGATTTGCAATTCAACCTCTGAGTTCCCATGTGGTGAGGATGGGGTGCTCCCAAGGATGAGGGGAGCCAGGTTGTATCTCATTTCACACATGGAGTCTGAACTGGAAAAGCAGACAGAAAGGACTTCTCATGCTTGTGGGAAGACAGAAAGCATCACCACTGGAGTTTTAAAGATCCTCACCATACAGAACTATGCTATCTGTGTATGCTGTATCTAACTGCAGAGCTGACTTAAGTTCACAGACCAATCTATATATTGTCTCCACCCAGTTTCAATCTGTAAGTGCCTGGTATGTTGCACGGGTTTGAAGCCTTTTGCAGGAAACAGGCTCTACAGAAAAGTGAGCAAACAGGGAAGTGGGTGGGGACAGAGGCAATTGGGTGGCGGAGTACATGCCAAGCATGTATGAGGTCTTAAAAAAAAGTCCGGCACCAACACAAGTGAGTGCTTAAAAGAGATTCTGTTAGAGAAAAGAAACACTAAGAAACCAAATGCAAAGCCCAGCCACAAAAAGAACAAACCACCAGTGTGAGCCTCTAAAGGTCTTTCATCAAAGCCAGGAAAGCTTTGGGGAGGAGGGGCTCGTAGACTGGAAACCCGCTTCATTGCTGGGCCCCACAGTTTTCCTGCTCACCCTGACCCAGTAAGTGCTTCTGTGTGTTGACTGATAATTCATCATTGCTTTGCTGCCCCACAATTCCCTTTCATAAGAATTTACTATGTATCTTTTTTTTTCAAGACACAGTGTTGCTATACCCCTCAGTGGCCCTGAGCTCACTCTGTAGTCCAGGCTGGCCTAGAGCTCACAGCCATCCCCCTGTCTCTTGGGATTACAGCCAAGTAGCCACAATGCCTGGTTACGATGTTTACTTGCCTGGCTACGATGTATCTTTTTAAATTTATAAGAGTATACCATGTTGCAATTCTCAAAGTATCTTCACCCAGGTCATTTTCTTTGAATTCATTTCTGAGTACCCAATGGAAACAAAGAAACAAGAAACAAAAGCCTAAGAGGTTGCATCAGTTGAAGATTCTTAACAGTTCTGAGGTCTCACTGAGCAAGTACCATTCTGCAGATGGTGAATGAAATCAAGAGCTTGACACCTGCCGACTCATTATGGGTTAGCAGGCACCAGGGTCCAGATAAAGAGTCCAGCACAGGTCCTATCCTGCCCTCTGCAAGACGGGCACTGAGCACTACTAGAGGCTGCTTTCACTACCAACAAACTGCACCAAGGCGAGCGCACCACACATGAGCCGTCTCCTTTGCCATGGCTGCAGTCAATAAGCAGCTATCTCTTCAGTAAGTATCAACATTACCCACCCAGTGCAACCCAGAACCACAGCTGAAGCTAACTCACTGATCAAGGTGCAAGTTTTCGCAGTGTCACTACTAGCAAGCAAAGCCAAGTTGGGCATTGTGGCGCACACCTGCTTCCCAGGACCAGGAAGTCTGAGGCAGGAGGTTCGAGTTTGAGGGCAGCCTGAGCTGCCTATCAAGTTCACAGCTGGCCTGTGCTACAAGGCAAAGTCCTGCCTCAAAAATTAAACAGGTAACAAGCTGTTGTGGTACAAGCCAGTCATCCCATCACTCTGGGAGGCTGAGGCAAGAGGATCATAAGTTCTAACCCAGCCCAGGCCACTTACTAATTTAGTGAGATCATATCTCAAAAATAAATTAACAAACAAATAAGTAGTAAATGGGGCTGGGGATATAGCTCAGTGCAAAGGTCTTCGGTTCAATATCCAGGACCATGAAGTAAATAACAAGTAAAAAATAAATAAGCAAGGCATCCCTCAACGGCATGATAGGTATTTCTTTGTTTTTGTTGTTGTTGTTGTTTGTCTTTTTCCTTTTTATCGGTACCAGGGATCGAACTCATGACTGCCTGCTTCCAAGGCAGGTGCTTATGCCGCTGAGCTAAACCTCCAGCCCCCGACAGGCTATTTCTAACACAACTACTGCTAAGAAAAATCCCATTCCACAAAAAAATTCGTCTTATACTTGTGTATTTGTTACAAAAGTATTTAAAGTACTGACTGTTAGCTAGATCTGATACATCTCAATCATTAAGCTGGTCTTTTAAAGCACAGATTTTATAAATTTCAGCTTTATCTTGCAGTGGAGGGAAGGGGGTCCCTACAACCTAGAAACAAGTTTGGATTGTTTGAGCTCAGGAAAATCTGCAGAAGGCAGAGCGGGGTCTATTTAATCCCACATGTCTCCTGCCTCTGCTGCCTGTTACTACCTACACTGGGCCAGGGACAAGGGACCAGGTGTGCTGGAGAACAGCAAGGAAAGAGAAAACAGGAAAGTGGGACAGGACCCCAGCCCGGCCATCCCTCCTCCGCCTCAAAGTCTGAGACCTTGAGATCACTTCTCCAGGTCTTGGTGACTCTGCCAAGCAGGGGTCCCTGGAAACAGCAAAGCTACATGGAAATGAAAGTGCTTTATCTCCAGCCAGGCAAGAGCCACTGCGACTGGGGAGCCCTCTGAATCAGTGATGGCAAACCTACAGGCAAGTGCCAAACTGCAATTTAAAACTCACTTATTTATCACAAACTGCCATTACTACAATAAACCTGAATACTTAAGTTTTAGTTTAGGAAAAACTCCTATGTTAACATCTTTTGTTTTAAAACAAAAACTCAAGTCACACATGCCATACATCTACTACAAGTTGAAATCATCCGGTAGGGGCTGGGTGTGCAGGACAAGCGCCCTATTTCCTTGGTTCCAGGCAGCTCATGGGTATCTCTAAGATCACATCTCGCTGTAAAGTGGACCTGCAAAAGTGCTACCTCTCCTCCCTAGAGGTAAGAATGGAGTTCCAAAGGGGACTTTCCTATGCTTTCCTGTAGATCCTTAATGAATGACAAGCTACTTGCAACCAGCACATCACCTGACCCAGGACAACCCACTGAAACCTGAACTATTGCTGACTGTCACCAGTAACATGCCTGTCAGATCATACTATGACAAGTCACAATGTGAGCCACTGCCTATGAAATAGAAGGCTAAACTTTACTTTGATTTGTTTTTCCTGGTACTGCAAATTGAACGCAGGGCTTTTTACTGAGCTACATGCCCAGCCTTTTCTTTTAAAATTTTGAGACAAGGCCTCGCTATGTTGCTGAGACTGTGTGCAAACTTGCTATTCTTATGCTTCAGCCTCCCAGAGTGCTGTGATTACAGATGTGTGCCAAGGCATTCGATTTGTAATCTGATCTTTTTAGGCTTTTCCAAGCCCCTGCAGAGTTTGTGGGGTACGCAATCAAAACTACCCAAGTGACACAAACAGGAAAATCCACCATAGGTAGGTCTGGCTATGAAGCAAAACAGGCTTTAATGGATGCCATGTTATCTAGGATTCGAGATGCTGAGGAGGGTCTAAATTACCACAGTCAGGGCCCAGCAGATTCCCACCAGAGTAATAGACTCTGGGAGGAATTTACTCTCGATGAACAGAGGCAACAATAAAATATTGAGCCACAGTGCATCCCAGGCCAGAGTAAGACTTTGTCTCAACACTATGGCAACTGTTCCTTCATGGATTCTCTCATGGCCCTAATTCAGCTCTTTGCAGGTTTGCTGAAGGGCTTCCCTTGCTCTGCAGAGTGCTATACTCCCCAAGGACACCGACCCTCATTAGGCACAGACAGAAATAGCTCAGGAATCCCGATGTTCAGATCCATAACTGAATTATTTAAAAAAAATAATATTTCAGAAGTGCCTTCCAATGATTTTCAGAGCTCCCCAAACCAGTAACTATGTCCTCTATTTTCATTTTCCAGTTATCCACAATGGGGCTCAAAAAGAAATTTATTGCTCTATGCAAGCAATAGATCACACTAGTTTTACAACCATTAAACCACACACTATGTAAAAAGCTACACTCACACAACATATATATATATAGAGAGAGAGAAAGAGAGGGAGAGCAAGAGCTAAAGATAAAATGGACAATTCTTCCTTAAAAAATTACAGAAGGAGCTGGGGGTTTAGCTCAGCGGCATAAGCACCTGCCTTGCAAGCAGGCGGTCGTGAGTTCGATCCCTGGTACCGATAAAAATGAAAAAAAAGACAAAAAAAATTATAAAAAAAAAAAATTACAGAATTAAATTTCTTGCTCCTTCCCAAACAACCCCCAGCCTCCAAGCCTACAAAGACTCCTGCACCCAGGCAGTCTACAAAAAGCTTCATCCCCATCCCCTTTTCTGTCACAGTTGAAAAAAACAGCTCTTCCTATAAAGCCAATCTACTTACCCCCAACAAAATTCTGGGTTTGGTTTTGTTTTGATTCAGAGCATGGTGGCATAGGCCTGTAATACTAGCTTTCTAGGAGGCCTGAAGAAGGATCATAAATACAATTCCTGCCTGGGAAACTTAACACAAGTCCCTGTCTCAAAACATAAAATAAAATAAAGGAGGCTGTGATAAGCTCAATGTGAATTCCCTGGGTCAAAGTCTAGTACTGGAAAAAAATGAACATCATTGTTTTTAGGCAGCAATCTTCCTGATGATAGAGACCTACCCTATTCCTTCCTGTACATCCCTGAGTTCTAACCACATCCTTCTGGCCAATGTGAACTGCCTGCAAACTCAGTCTGAGGAGTAAGAGAGCCAACAGGTTTCAGGTGATCGATGCTTTCCAAACCTTTTCGGTGACGCATAGGAAAATACTGCACTAACAAACAACTCCTAACACACTCATACCCGAGGAAAGTGTCAAGAAACAACGCTCTTGCTAAGCACAACAGTCTCTGATAGTTTCTATTTCTTTCTAAAAGGTGGCCAGAGCTGTTAAACTGACTTCCAAACTCACCACGGAACTCACAGTTTAAAAAAACACTGCAAAAAAAAAAAAAAAAAAAATCAAACCTTACTGTTGCATTCCACAAGTTCCTAATCAGCTTTGCAAAGCCAGCCGATCAGAGCCAGTGAACAATACAAAACCAGACTGCCCAGCTGGACAGTATCCTTCTGCCCAGCAGTGGCCGCGGTCCTGGTTCAAGCTCCTGCCACACATCTCTCGAGAATCCCAAGGAGGCTCCATGCCTCTGCACCTCTTCACATATCAATCCTTTTAACGTCTCAAGGTGGCAAGGTGTCCCTGCCGCCCAACGTGGGAAGCCATCCTCTCTTTGTGTCCCCTTCAAAACTCGAAATTAAACAAACTGGCGTGCTCCTTGTGCCTCGGTGATTAAGATTCGAGCGCACCTGTCCCATCTCCATCTTTCTAGACTTAATCATTGCTGGGCGAAGCCTCTGATGGAAATAAAAAACCTGGGACGCCCTGGCGTCACATCAGTCACAGCACAATCGGCTGCAAAGGGAGGGAGGGAGGTGCAGGTCAACGGGCGCGCTCCTACAAGACTTGCAAGTGAGTGCACGCGGGGCCCACAAGCTGGGGAGCCCTCACCCTAAGACCAGGGGGAGGGGCCCAGGGTGAAACCTCGCTCCCCGTCGGGCCCTCCCATAAACCCTCAGCTCCCCAAGGCCTCACTGCCGCTCACCCGGGTGCAGGGGAAAACAGAGAAGAAGACTGGGTCCCCAAGCCCCGCTCCCCGTGCCCGTACAACCCGTACCACTTCGCTGCCGCCGCGCACCCGCCAGGGGCGGCCTCAAGACGCGGCCTCTGCGCATGCGCCCTGGCCGTGCGTAGCGTGCGTGCGCTGCGTGGGGGGCGGGGACCGGCACCGCCCCGCCCTCCCCTCCCCCACCGCCGCGGCCGCCGCAGGAGCCGAGCCCGCCGCCGACCCCGAGCCCCGAGCCCCGGGCCGTGCGCCCGTGCCGAGCTGCGCCGGGTGAGTCCGCGCCCTACCTGGGACCCCGGATCTCGCCGCCGCGCGTCCTCTCCCTACATCCCCCTAGGAATCCGCACCACCCTGGCTCCGTCGGGGTCCGCTCGGCGGCGCCCCAAAGCCCCGGGGTGGGACCCGCCTGCCCGCGCCCCTACCCTGGGCCCGCGCCGCGCCCAGAGTGCGGACCGGGGTTCCCGCGTCCCAGCTCTGCCCTAGTGGCTGCGCTGGCCCGGGCGACTGTCGTCCCCGCTCCGAGGGACCGCGCGTCCTGTCCGGGGGCCGCACCGCGCTCTCTGTTCCAGAGCGGGCACCGGGGATCGAGGGGCCTGGGACCCCCACGAGCGGGCAGAGGCCCGGAGTAAGGGGCGCCTTTGCCCCTCCTGCTGTGCCAGTCGCCCAGGGCCACTGTCCTGAAGCTGTCGGCTGTTCCCTAAGAGGGGAAGAACGCCAGGACAGTGGGGGAAGAGGTCGGAGGGGCGCTGCCCTTGCGGCTCTGCTGCCACCTGCCAGGATCTGCCGGGCAGAGAGGTCTGCACCCACCGCCCCAGGGCGGGGCCTCTCGGGGGTCCGCGGGCTATGCCCGGCACCTCCCGAGCCCAGGGTCCTGTCTCCTAGGCGCAGGGAGGGGGCGGGGATGTGCTGCAGCGCGACAGTCCACCAGGGCACCCGAGGGTCCAGGCCCTGGCATGCCCTGGGGTGGCATCTGCTGGGGCCTTCTATAGTTTCACCCTGTGCAGTCAGCGTGAGTAGGTGGGTGGGGACGTTGCTGACAGAAGTGGCTAAGAAGTCCTCCTTGCGTATCCTACAAGATCACTCCAACTATAAGAGAGTGATAGAGACCTGAGTTCGAGTCCTAGCTCTGTCATTCGTTAGCGATGTGACCTTGACCAGTTACTTAACCTGACCGAACCTCTATTTCCATTAAAAAATGTGGTTATGAGTGGGGTGCAGTGGCTCACTTCTGTAATTCCAGCACTCAGGAGACTGAAGCAAGAAAATCAGAAGTTCATTGAAAGCAGGCAGTCATGAGTTCGATCCCCGGTACCGATAAAAAGGAAAAAGACAAAAAAAAAAAAAAAAAAAAAAAAGAAGTTCAAGGCCAGACTGGGATACCTGGCCAAACTCTGTCTCAAAAAAAAATAATAATAATTATAAAATAGTATGGTTACTCCCACAAGGTTGTCTTGGGGATCAAACAATATAACATAGGTGGAGAGACTGACACCCAGCCTGGTAATGGATTAACACTGGGTTCTCTCTAGACCTATCTTGGCATAGCATTGCCTTTACACCCACCTCCCAGCCCAGTGCAGATGGATGGGTTGTGTTCAGAGAGTTTGAGAACCTCCCCTGCCACTCATTGTCAAAGTCACTAACACAGGGTAAGCCGTCCTGCTTGGCTGATGGGTTGTGTCATATTTTATCTTGAAGTTTTAGGTTATCTCTCTCTGTCTCAGTCTAGCAATACTAGGGATCAAACTCAAGGGTGCTCTACAACTGAGCCACATCCCCAGCCCTTTTCTTTCATTTTGTTTTGTTTTTTCTTTCTTTCTTTCTTTCTTTTTTAAGACAAGGTCTTCCTAAATTGCCTAGGCTGGCCTCAAACTTGCTGTCTTCCTGCTTTGGTTTCTGGAGTGGCTAGGATTAAGTACATGCATGCTAAATTTTATATTTTCTTTTACTTTTTTACTGATTTTTCTCCCCTAAATCTCTTGTATTCTGCATATCAATATTAACAATAGCTATTTTTAGAGCCTGTTATTTGTCCTAAACTATGTGAAGAGCTTTGCATGAATCTTCTTAATTCTTTAAACAGCCACACAACAATTGTTGCCCCCATTTCACAGATTAAGGAGTCAAGGCCCACGGTAGTTAGGTAATTTACTAGGGTAGAAGCCAGGTCTGACTGTCCTGGTGCTTATGCTGTTAGTCACCAGGCTGTGCCTGCCCTACCTTAGGGACTTGAGATCACAACCCAAGTAGGAACAAAGACAGGTGCAGAGAAATGGGTTGCAGCCTCCCCTGTATTTGCAGAGGAAGCAAGTGCAGCAGTTAGCAGTGTAAATTCAGTCTCTCTCTGGACCTACCTCAGACCGGCTGTGTGATCTTGGGAACACTGTCTAGCCTCTCCGTACCTCAAGGCCCTCCTGAAGTTTGAGGAGAAGCAAATGAGTTACATCTGCAGAGGTGTTAAAACAGTGCCTAGCACAAACGTTTGGTAAATGCCTTTTTAAAAACGTGAGGCCTGATTCTAGAAAGTGCTGAGTTACAGACTTACGTGTTTTGTATTTGTGATGCTGGGGATTGAGCCCAGGGTCTTCGCACTGAGCTACGTCACCACACCTTTTTATTTTTCATTTTGAGATGGAATCTCCCTAAATTGCCCAGATGGGGTTTTAATTTGCAATCTTCCTGCCTCATGCTCCAGAGTAACTTGGATTATAAATGTGAGTCACCACACCCTCCTAAATGCATTCTTTTAATGCTACTTATCCTCACGTGTGAATACCTTTTTGCCTAGCCACCTGAAATCAGTAAGAGGTGGGGCTAGGACGTTAATATCTCTGTTACACACTGGAAGACTGAGGCCTGGGGTTACATGGAAACAGAGCCAGTCTGCATCTCCACCTGCCTTCCTGTGAACCTAAACCCTCCATTAAGTCACCCCAGTAACTCCATGAGGAAAAAAAATGAAACTTATGGCTCCCCACCCCCACTGTACACTCCTAATGGGAAAATCACAGTGTAGCCGGACATCTGATCCTCCATCTCTAACACAGCTGCATACATTCAGCCAAAGCCTCAGTGTCACCCAGGAGAAACACACACACAACTGGGTGGGGTGTGTCCAGAAGAACTGCCACCAGCCCCTGTGCCCCAGTGTTTTGCCTCAGGCTGGCCCTCTATGCCCACAGCCCTGCCCTGACTTTGAGAGCAGCTGCTGATGTTGAAATCGACCAGCAATCCCAACCTCACCTGCACAATTAAGAGCTTGAAGTATCCTCATCAACCGGCCTGGCCACCCGCACTCCACCCCTTACCTGCCCTTTGACCTGTGTGACTCTCCTCCTGGGCCTTGCTTCCTGCCCTGAAAAATGGGGACAGCCACCTGAGGGGGCTTATTCTGTGCAGGTGGAGGAGCAGGGCAGTTTTGAAGGGGACAGTGGAGAGGGGGTGGCAGAGTGACTAGGTGATTTCAGGTGCTGAGCTCCCAGCTGGACGATCACCTGCTCTGAAATCACTTAGTGTGCAGAGGCACCCAGAAAGCTCCTCCCTGGAGTAGGAAGATGGGTGGGGAGCTGGCTGAGCAGGGCTTTGGTTCAGTTCTGGGAAAGAAACCCAGCCCTGCAGTGGGAATGGACTTTGTGATTCCCAGAGTGCACTGCAGTTGCAGTTGAGAGAGGGGACCAGTTAGGACCTCCGCACACCACCCTTTAACCTGCTCTGGAGCTTGGGATCTGTGCCCAGTGTTTACCTGCCTGGCTCCCGGACACACCTACACCACACCTCCACTCCGAGGCCAGCAAATCCCTTGGTTCCGTGGGTGCCACAATCACCTAACTCCCATGCACATACACACATAAGCACGCATTTACACACTTAGACACCTTCCCACCATGCTTCTGTGTTCTCAGGCCTGAGAATATTTAATGGGCATTTTATTTCTGAAGCTTCCTCAGTCTCCAGAGGCTTGTGCTGGGCACAGCTGAAAAGCATGGAGCTCTATCATATTCTAGCTTTATAGAGAAATTGTCTGAGGTTTGGACCCCAGACCCATCATTTTATTTACCATGAGGCCTTGGGAAAGTTACTTAACCTCTCTGAGCCCCTTGGTCTCATCGTACAGACACTCATAAGGACACTCATAAGATTTTAAGGGTGGACCAGGGATTTGGCTCAGCAGCATAAGCGCCTGCCTTGCAAGCGCAAGTTCGAGAGTTCGATCCCTGGTACCCCCCCCCCCAAAAAAGAAAAAGCTTGTCAAGGGTTTGATGCAATCAGGTACATATTCATGAAAGGCTTAATAAATGGTGCCTGCCACGTTACTAAATTAGGGTGTTTTGAAAGTCAATTTGGGCAAGAAAAGAGGGAGGCATAAGTGACAGGCAGTTACACTCTTCACTTCCCAACCAGCTACAGAGACTCCGTGGGAGCCCCAGGACTGGTGGGTGGGCCAGAGAAATCCTGAGTTACCTGGGTCTAACTGAGGGACCCATGTTTGTCCAGAGCTACCATCACCTTTACCACCTTGTTGTTCTCTCTTTGTCTACTTTCCTTTCTTCCCTCGGGACCCCCTTCCTCCACAGAGCTGTAGAGTTGGCAGCAGAAGGGGCCCCCAGGGTCCCCCAGTAGAAGGAGGTGGGGCAGCACGAGGCTGGAGCCCCATTCACCCTCCCTACTCTAGAAACATCCCCAGGGCCCACTCAGCTCAGTCCCCAAGTACCCTTCTCCCCTCCTGCCCATCCAGCTGGCCTAAGCATGGGGGATTGTGGCAGGGACAGGCAAGAAGGCAACACCAGGTGGCAGGGACTTGAGTGGGCTGAGGCCACCATGTACTCTCCCAGCTTTTGCCAGTGGAGCATCTTTCCAGAGGGCATGGTGTTCCCAGCCTGCCTTGCTTTAGAGGTAGGAGCACGGCATTCTGGGAGTTGTAGTCCTCACTATGGTAAGCCTGAGCTATCTCTGGAGAGGGTAAGATGCTGGAGGGGGGCAGGGAGTAAGGGACTTTCTTGCTGCAGCAGAGAGCCAGGGCGTGGGTAGCAGGTAGCACAGACCAGAAAATCCTGCTTTTTACTCTGTCTTTTTACCTGTCTTTTTACTCTGACCCCATCCTCCAATCCCCTGCTCTGAGGACCCTGAAGCTAAAAAATGTGGTTTTGAAGTTGGTCAATTGAAGTGATTAACAGAATTGAAAACTCTAATCACATGAAATCAGGCCTCTTTATTTGGGGCTGAGGATGGAACCGAGGGTCTCACGCATGCTAGGAAGGATATAGTCAAGTGCTATAGCCGCAGTCCCAGCCTAGAATAATATCACAGAGTCCCTGCTGGCTCTTGGCCCACCCTCACTGTCCTAGAACTGCCTCTCCTAGCTTTGTGTCCTCAGGCCTAACCCCTGCCATTGTTCCTCAGGCTCTGTTCTACCCCTTTGGAAAGAACAGAATGAGGGAAACTGTGTGGGCCTGTCATCCATCCACGGTGAGAGGCTGAGGCAGGAAAATCACAAGTTCAAACTCAGCCTGGGCAGTTTAGCAATTTAGGAAGACCCTGTCTCCAAGCAGGCAGGGAGGGAGGGAGGGAGAGAGGGGAGGAGGGCTGGGGATGTGGCTCAGTGTGAAGGCCTTGGACTCAGTCTCTAGCACCTCCACACGCAAAAAATGTGAGGCCAGGGAGCAGGTAGAGGCAGCCACTGAGGGTGACAGACACCTTCCCCTGAGTGTGACCGGTAGGCCCAGGGTGAGGGTGCAAGTGTGAGGGCCAGGGAAGGCAGGGCTGTGACCCGAGCCTCTCTCCTGGCCCTTATCTCCCAGGCCAGAGCCTCCGCCCTCCCTCTGCCTGGAGCTGCCTCCCTCCCCTTCCCCACTGGGTGCCCACTGGCTGGGCCGAGGGGATGTGGTGAACCCACTGACCACGCTGCACTTCACCCGGGAGGACCATGCGGCAGTAGGCGCCATGTTGCCCTTCCTGCTGGCCACACTGGGCACCACGGCCCTCAACAGTAGCAACCCCAAGGACTACTGCTACAGTGCACGCATCCGCAGCACTGTCCTGCAGGGCCTGCCCTTTGGGGGTGTCCCCACCGTGCTGGCCCTTGACTTCATGTGCTTCCTGGTAAGTGTCACTGCCCGCCCTATCCTTGGCACCTGTGCACAATAGCCCTGGCAAACCACACCCTCCCGCCCACCTTGGCCCTTCACCCTGCCAGCCTGTCCCCCCAAGATGAGGTTCTGGCCCCAGGCCCAGGCCGGCTGGTCCCCACCTTCCACTCCTCTCTTCCCTCAGGCACTACTGTTCCTGTTCTCCATCCTGCGGAAGGTGGCCTGGGACTATGGGCGGCTGGCCTTGGTGACAGATGCGGACAGGTAAGGGTCTGCACTTGGCCGCCTCACTCCATGCTGCTCAGAGCCAGGAGGGGGCAGGCCCTTCTGGTCCCCTTTGTGGGGAGTTGGGAGTGAGGGGGTAGAGAGACCGCGTGGGTGCCTTGGTCCCTTGCCAGTCCTCCTCCCGCACCGATAACCCGGTCTATTCTCTGTCCCCAGGCTCCGGCGGCAGGAGAGGGACAGAGTGGAACAGGAATAGTATGTGGGGCACCAGCCCCTCGCCCCCACTAAGCCAGCTTTTCTCTCTCTCCTCTCACGCTTCTCTCTCCTCCTGCCAAGCTGCTGGTTTCTCTCCTCTGCAGGCTCTCGGCGGTTCAGACGATTGCAGGTGGTGTGCTTTGCAGAGCAGGGTGACTCCCTGGCTTGTCTCTGTTCCCCACACTTGCTCTCTCAGGCTCCTGCCTGAGAGAAGGCCCCTCCCCATGTGCCCCCCTCCAGGAAACCGCACCACAGAGTCCTTTCACGGTCACACAGAGACAAGCTGGGTGTCCCCTGCGCTTCTGCCCCCTAACAGCTGGTTCTTCATCTGCCAGGGTTCCCTGTCTGCCCTGGGAGGGGGCTGCCCAAGGAGCCCCCTGTTCTGGCCTCTGTCTATAGGGCTGGAGTTGGAGCTGGGCAGCTGTCGGGTTGGGGAGCAAGGAGGGAGCCATCTTCCCCATCAACCCTCATCCTCCAAGCCCTCCTTGGGCTCCCCCGGCCCCTCCACCTTCACCTCTCTTTGCTTTTTGCCTAATTCAGCTCTATTGCGCCTGCCCCCTGCCGGTCAGGACCGGAACTGCAGGGCTTCTAACATTCTTGCTTTGGCCTCATCTGGGGGGTGTGATGGGTAGAAACCGCCTCCCACAGGCCCCATGACCAAACTGGTGCTCGGTGCACAGAGGGAAGAGGTGGATGGAGTGGGGGGGATCACTCCTGCTTCAGCCTCTGTGCTTTCTGTGCCTTTGGTGGCCCTGGAACTCTGGGATTCCCTGCCCGTTCCCCAGGACTCACGCTCACCCCACTCTGGTCTCATCTTCCCCTCCCCAGTGTGGCCTCCGCTATGCATGGGGACAGTCATGACCGGTATGAACGTCTCACCTCCGTGTCCAGCTCCGTTGACTTTGACCAGAGGGACAATGTGAGTGTCCTCCCCTAACCCCTTATCCAACCCTACATGTGGGCCAGGTACTCTGTAGCACGCAGTGCTGTGAGGTCAGGGACTTGTCTGAGTGTCTTCGTGGCTTGTATCCTATGTCACAGCCCCCAGATAGCCTGGCCCTAACACTGTAAACTCCAGACTCTGCTACAGTAGAGTTCAGTGCCCATGTCTGCTGCTGGTTAATCCAAGGCCACCATCTTGCTGTAGAAGTGGCTTTAGAAATCCCAAGTGTACCTGCTGTGCATGGTGGCACACACCTGTAATCCCAGCACTCAGGGGCCAAGGCAGGAGGATCACCACAAGTTCAAGGCAAGCCTAGGCTACATAGTGAGTCCCTGTCTCAAAAAAACGAAAAGTAAAAAGTCACAGTGTGTTCTCCTGGCTGAGCGGCTAGGTGTACAGACTGTGCTATAGTGCTCAGAGGGGTGGGTGGCGGCCCTGGCTGGGGGGACAGATGGCCTGCAGTTCACAGCAGTCTGCAGATGCTCAGCTGCATCTCATATGACACCCAACAGGGGTGTTCCTACCTAGCCGTCTGTCATTGTGATTGTGGGGTCCCTGATCAGCCCAGTTTAGATTGGAGGTCCTGGGGGTGACAGTCCCGCAGAAAGTGACTGTCACTTCCTGAGTTGGACACATTGAGGTAAGTGGCAAGTCACAGGCTTCAGCCTCGCTGGCCAGAGGTGTCCAGATGGTTCCCAGCCATGGGTGCTACCCAGCTAGCAGCACCCTAGGGAAACGCACCTTCTCCCTGCCTTGAGTGAGCTCTGGACCTCTTGCTGGGAGCCTGGGGGAAGGTTCTCTGCCTGGCCACCCCTGATGCTCCCTACCATCTGTCCAGAGGGGCTTCGGGGATGAAAGAGAGAGACGTCCTGCAATCCACGGTGGCCCTGGGCTTGGTACCTCCGGGGTGGAATGGAAGACAGCAGGAGTGCAGGCAGCATGGGCACCCCTCTGCTTTTGGCACCTGGAGGTGGAGGGAGGCTTCCTAGGCATCCCGAGATGTACCCCATACTGCCCACACAGCCACAGGGTTCTGTGGGGCTCTAGCTCTGGACATAAGGGTTCACAGATAACCTGCCTTGGGGCTGTCCTTTTTCTCTTTGAGGACAGAGACCAGAGACCTCCCTCTTCCCCCTGCTTCCCTTCGCTGGGCTGAGCTCCTTCCTGGGCTTTAGGGTTCAGGGAGGTGTCAGGGTGGGGGAACATGTGAGGTAAGCCACAGCCTAGATGCGGTTGTGAGAATGAGGGTGCCCTGGGCGAGGGAGGGCACTGGTGGGCTGGGGCCGCCTGCTGACAGCCTCTGTCTCCCCAGGGCTTCTGCTCCTGGCTGACAGCCATCTTCAGGATAAAGTAAGTGAATGCTTCGAGCTTAAAGAAAGAGAGAAACAAGAACTTCAGGCATGGCATCTCCCTCCAAAATGCAGAGGCCAACAGCTCGGAGGGCCTTAGCGCTGCTAGCCAACCCAGCGAGTGCTTCCTGCTTGCCACCTCAGGCTGCCTGGCCGTGGGGCCCGGCCTCCGTGGTCTCCAAATGCTCACTTTCTCCCACAAGACTCCATGGTGCCCTGCCCTGGGCCAGCACAGCCCTCAGTCTCCTTCCCTGCCCTGCTCCCTGAGAGCAGGGCCCGGACCCTGGCCCAGCCCCCTGCAGCCAGCAGGGAGGGCAGCTGCAGGCAGAAGCCAGTGTCCAGCAGGCAGCAAGGCAGGCGATCGAGCCAGAGTCCGGCAGGCAGTCGGCAGGCAGGCAGTGAGCGCTGAGAGAGGCAGGAAGCTGGACAGGTCAGCACCACCCCTGCCCAGGCCAAGGCAGAAGCCCCCCAACAGGCCCTGCCAGAACCTCTTTCTCACCGTCCCCTTCTGCCCCTCTTGAATTGTGTCTTCTTTCTGGTCCTTCTCCCTCCCTTCCCAGAAAACTGGGGACTCAGAAGTCCCATTCTAGCCCCACGCAGGGCTGGACAGTGGGTAGGATGGCTGGGAACTGGGGCCACCTGTGATCTCCTGGCCCAGTTCTGACCTCAGTGCTCCGCCACCCCTTGGCCCGCAGGGACGATGAGATCCGGGACAAGTGCGGGGGCGACGCTGTGCACTACCTGTCCTTCCAGCGGCACATCATTGGGCTGCTGGTTGTCGTGGGTGTCCTCTCCGTGGGCATCGTGCTGCCTGTCAACTTCTCAGGGGATCTGCTGGGTCCGTGAGGGCTGGGGCAACTGGGGCAGGGGAGGCAGGGACAGGGGTGCCAGCCCTGACCCCACCATCACCTGTGCCCCCTCCACCTCCAGAGAACAATGCCTACAGCTTTGGGAGAACCACCATTGCCAACTTGAAATCAGGGTAAGTCTGGGACCAACAGGGAGGGCCCTGGTCTGAGGGTGGGGCTGGAGGCGGCTGGAGACCGCAGAGTTAGATCCCTTAGAGTATCCCCAAGTCCGCCATGTAAGAAGGCCGCCTCGGGCCAGGGAAGGCTACTGACCAGAGGACGCCGTAGCCAGTGGGCAGGGTATGCGGGATCTTTCCACTGGGGTGTCCTGGGAATGTGGGCCGCGTGGCCCATCTTCTGAGGCTCAGTGCCGCAGGCTGGTGTCTGGGTTTACCGAGCTGAGGCATCGGCTGTCCCAGCCACTTGTACCCCCTGCTGCCCAGGAACAACCTGCTGTGGCTGCACACCTCCTTCGCCTTCCTGTACCTGCTGCTCACCGTCTACAGCATGCGGAGGCACACATCCAAGATGCGCTACAAGGAGGACGACCTGGTGAGCCTCGGGAGCCTGCCCTGCCCTGCCCTGCAGGCCGTGCCCCGCCCTGCTCCACATGCCAAGCTGCAGTTAGCTGTGAGCCCTGGCCCCGGGGCTGAGGAGCTGCACTGTCCTATGGAGACATAGCCTGGCCTCAGTTTCCTCACTGTAGAATGGGATTGTAGTCAGTCTCCCAGGGTTTCTCAGAAGGTGAGACCATGCAGTGCACATGCACTGCCAGCCGTGCCTGGCCCTGGGAAGTGGCCGAGGTTGGTGTTGGGTGATGGTATTCCCCGTCTTCTGGTCACTTGCCAACCAGCTCTGAGCACCAACCCTAAGCCAGTCATTATACTGGGACCCCAGGGCAACCCTCTATCAGCCCTGTCGCCCTTCCAGAAGCTGGGCTGTGTGGCTCCGGAGTTAAGCTTGCTGCCTGATCTTTATAGCAGTCTGTGCAGTGATTCACTGAGTACACCCCAACTTTCCCCAGGATCCAGTGAGCCCCCTCCTTCATCCTCTCTCTGCTCACCACCTTCCACCCCTCAGTACAAAGCGCCACTCCATCCCTCCCCACAACCTCCCGCTCCCAAGGGTCCTCTCTCAGGAAGCCCCCCGTCCCTGCAGGTGAAGCGCACTCTTTTTATCAATGGGATCTCCAAATACGCGGAGTCGGAGAAGATCAAGAAGCACTTTGAGTGAGTCAGTGCCCCTGTGCCTTTACCCCAGAGAGACCTCATCCTCTGCTGCCCCTGGGAGGAGGGGGGGGTGCACAGCAGGACAAGGTCAGAGCAGGGCTGCAGTCTCCGCCTCCAGGGTGGCTTAGCATCGGGGTGCCTTCGGGAGTAGAAGGCTGGGTAGAGCTCAGTGCTGAGTGCGCGTTAAGCAAGTGAGGCCCAGCGCTCAAGCCCAGCTCCCTACTGAAGGAAAGAGTAGGAGAAAATACAGTCTGGGTGTGCCACGTCTGTCTCCCCCTCCAACGTGGACGGGCTCCAGGTTGTTGATTGGGGTCCCCTGGAGGTGGATGCCTTCCTCCATTCTCAGCCATGTTCTGGGGCATGCCGATTGGGGGTGAAGCCGGCAGATTCCAGTGGCTGTGACTCCAGGAGCCTGAGGAAGGCTGGACTCTACCCTCTCAGGCTCTTCCGGCTCTGGAATCCTGTCTTGAGAGGAACTCCAGCGCTGCCAGGCGCCGGAAACTGGAGAAAAGAAGGGAGCTCGAGTGACAAGGAGGGCACTGCTCAGTCCCCAGGGCCAGAGGTCACATGGGACAGAGCCAAGGGCGGCAGAGTTGGAGCTGAGGGCCCACTGGGGAAGGTGCAGGGCCTGGGCTCACCTGTGCATGCAGGCACTTTCCCATAAGTTACAGTGATGGGCTTGGGACTGTGACAGGAGAATGAAAGGGCCTCAGACTTGGGGTTCACGTGCTGTGGGGATCAGCCTTAGGAGCAGGGCCAGGCTCCAGTCAGAGGTTGGTCTGAGTCATCTAGAATTAGAAGTTGGCTGGTGTCACAGTTGGGCTAGTGTCGGTGGCCTGAAGCAGGCTCAGTCTGGCACAAGCACAAGGGATCATTCCAATCCAGATCTGTCCGGATCCAGATCCAGGATAGAGCTCAGGCCTCGTCCCAGACCCGGGGGTTCTACTGGGAGTGTGTTGGGCTGGCCTGGGGGCAGCGTCTGGATAGGGTCCAGTGCCGGAGCCCCGTGCTACAGGGTTAAGGACTGGCTCGGGGTAGGCACCTTCTCTGTACCATGTCGTTTTGCAAAGCAGCATCCGGAGCAGATCTCCTTTGGTACAGCAGCTGTCTGGGGTCCTGTCTGGGGCTAGTGCTGACGTTAGCCATGGGGAGCAGTCTGGGTCAGGACCGAGGACAGTGTGCTCTGAATTCAGTGATTTCACTGTGCATTTGGAATCAGGCAGACTCCCTGGGGCCATAGGGTGGGCAGGTGCCATTTGAGCAGAGGCCTGAGCCAGCGAGTGACCAACCCTGCCAGCTCATTCAGCCTGTGCACAGCGCTGTGTGCAGGGAGACCAATCTGATGGGCGTCCTTGGGGAGCACTCCATCCTGCCCACTCTGTAGTTCCTGCAGGAAAGAGTAGGATTAAAGTTAGGGGTCATGGCCATCCCTGGGCTTGGTGGGCACATACTATAACCTCTGCACTCTGGGAGACTGAGACAGGAGGATTGCTAGTTCCAGGCCAGCCTGGGCACCTGAGCAAAACACTGTATCAAAATAAAAAGGGTTAGGGCTGTGGTTCAGGACAGAGACCCTGGGTTCAGTCCCCGGTACTGTGGAAAAGTAAAATGAAAAATAAATGGGGATGCAGTGTAAATTAAGGATCAGGGATCAGGAAACGGGGTGGGATTGGGTTTAGGAAGTAAGTCGTCCTTCCTGGGTCAGCAGGCATTCCTGAGCCTGGCCTCAGGTGGGGAGTCGGGGCTGCATTATAGGTCGGCCTCAGGACCTTTGATGGTCCCAGGCCGGGGTGAAAGATCCCCACAGAGGCCGGTTGCCGGGTGGTTGGGTCCGGCCCTCGTTGAGGCCAAGTGTGAGACAGGACCCTGGGAGCAGGGTCATGGCTGTGCATGGAGAGCAGCGTCCCCACAGCACCCCGTACCCCTCCCCGTGAGCACCCCAGGAGGGGTCCAGGGCTTTATTCTTGGCTATCAGAAGGCGCAGTGGGAGCTGGGAGGTGTGTCCCCTTGGTGCATCAGAGCCCAGGTGGGTGAGCATCTGCAGGCAGTGGGGTTCCTGCAGGAAGTGACACTGGCCCTGTTTCAGGGAGGCCTACCCTAACTGCACTGTCCTCGAAGCCCGTCCCTGTTACAACGTGGCACGCCTCATGTTCCTGGATGCAGAGAGGTAGGCTGGGGCAGGGAGGGGACCCGAGGCCCTGCCTCCTTGCCCAGGGCACTGTGAACGCTTGGGTTTAATTCCACCCCAGAGCACTAGCCCTCAGCTCCGGGAGGAGCTGGCTGAGCTCAGACCCCCATCCCCACCCTGAGCGTTGGCCTTCCTCTTCCCCCTGCCTGGCCCAGGGACACTGGGCTGGGGGCCTCTGAACAGCATACTCTAGACAGCCAAAGCAGGACAGCTCCTGCCCTTGGGGGTGGCCCAAGTGACACGAGCCTGCTGGCTGGGGGTGACAAGCATCGGGCCCCACAGGAAGAAAGCAGAGCGGGGAAAGCTGTACTTCACAAACCTGCAGAGCAAGGAGAACGTGCCCACCATGATCAACCCGAAACCCTGTGGCCACCTCTGCTGCTGCGTGGTGCGGGGCTGTGAACAGGTACGAGGAAGGCCCTGTCCCTAGCCCTGCTGCCCACATGGCGGGGAATGGGCACAGGCATGGAGATGGCCTCGAAGCCCCGGCTCACCTGCGGGGCCCAGGTCGGAAAGGACTGTGCTGTCACTCTGCTAACACGCCTTCGCAGGGTCCTTAGCCACGCTATACCTCATTTCCTCGTCTGTAAGATGAGGCTGGTGGTACTCACGTGTGTAAAAACACCTCCGAGCCAGGAGTCATGGCACATGTCTGTAATCCCACACCCTTGGAGACTGAGGCAGGAGGATGGGAATTTGCATTTGAGCTCAGCCTGGGCAACTTAGTAAGACACTGTCTCAAGATACCCAATAAAAAGGGCCCAGGATTCCACTCTGCGAAGGCCTTGGAGGAGGAAGCCTGGCTAGCGGGGCGGGGCCTTGGGTCCCTGCTCTGACCAGAGGCCCTGGCTGCCACCTGCCCGCCCGCCTGGCAGGTGGAGGCTGTCGAGTACTACACGAAGCTGGAGCAGAAGCTGAAGGAGGACTACAAGCGGGAGAAGGAGAAGGTGAACGAGAAGCCGCTCGGCATGGCCTTCGTCACCTTCCACAACGAGACCATCACGGCCATGTGAGCCTTGCGCCCCGCCCCTCTTCCCTTGGCCCACCCCGTCCCCATGGCCAGTGGCTTCCTGGGAGTAACAGTGCCATCCCCGCCAGCATCCTGAAGGACTTCAACGTGTGCAAGTGCCAGGGGTGTACCTGTCGCGGGGAGCCGCGTGCCTCCTCCTGCAGCGAGTCCCTGCGCATCTCCAACTGGACCGTGTCTTACGCCCCGGACCCCCAGAACATCTACTGGTGAGAAGTGGCGTATGGGGGAAGACGGGGGGGGGGGGCAGGGAGGAGGCATGGGGAGGGTTGCCTGACTCTTCCTCCCCCGTGCTCCAGGGAGCACCTCTCCATCCGCGGCTTCATCTGGTGGCTGCGCTGCCTGGTCATCAATGTCGTCCTCTTCCTCCTCCTCTTCTTCCTCACTACCCCAGCCATCATCATCACCACCATGGACAAGTTCAACGTCACCAAGCCTGTGGAGTACCTCAATGTGCGCTCCTCACCTCAGCCTTCCCTTCCTCTGCACTCTGCCCACCTGCCCCCTGTCCCTTCCTGCCACACACAGTCATGGGCCAGTTTGAAAGTCCCTGAGGGACTCTGGCTTTGTATATAGGACCCAGAGTACCTTTCTAAATCCCCATCCCTCTGCTTGCTACCCGGGTGAGTCTGCCTCAGTTGACTCATCTGTAAAATGGGCCAATGTCATTGGTGTGAGGATGGATGTCATGCTGGGGACGTGGCAGCTTTGAGTGTCAGCATCCTGCACCCTGGGGCCAGAGGACTGTGGGGAGCAGGCAGTACTTGCCTGACACACGATCCTGTATCTGCAGAACCCCATCATCACACAGTTCTTCCCGACTCTGCTGCTGTGGTGCTTCTCAGCCCTGCTCCCCACCATCGTCTACTACTCGGCCTTCTTTGAGGCACACTGGACACGGTGAGGGTCCGTGCCACCCCCATACCTGCTGTGCCCTGTGCCCTGTGCTCAGAGGGCAGGGTGCCCTCTGCCCTCAGGTTCCCGGTGCCAGCACCACCCACCCCCAGCCCTGTCCCGCTGGCTGGCACCCCTGACCTCCACCATGCCCTGTGTCTGTGCCAGCTCCGGGGAGAACAGGACCACTATGCACAAGTGTTACACCTTCCTCATCTTTATGGTGCTGCTCCTGCCTTCCCTGGGACTGAGCAGGTGAGCCTTGGGTGGGGGGGCAGGTGCGAGGGGAAGTCAGGAAAGCTGTTCCTAGGGTCCCCAAGGCCCTCACAGACCCACCTCCCTCCTTTCCTCCCTCCAGCCTGGATCTCTTCTTCCGCTGGCTCTTCGACAAGAAATTCTTGGCAGAGGCAGCTATTCGGTTTGAGTGAGTGACCGGGGCCCCAGGGAGAGACCGGGTGGCAGGGGGCACGGTGGGGACTCTGCCAACCTCCACAGGAAGGAGGGTTTGACAGCCCAGCCCTGGGCGGAGAGCAGAGAGGGCTGAGGTCGGGGGCTGCTGGGCCCCCTGGGTCTCACCTGGAAGCAGGCGTCCTCCTAAGTGCACCAGGGCTCTAGGGCTTCCGCGTTGGGGCTGGGGGTGTCTGGTCTCATTTGGGAGCAGCTGGCCATGAAACGTCAGTCACCTGGGAGGGACTTAGCGTCCCTGCAGCTCCCTGGCATTTGTGCTGTGGGTCCAGGGAGGCTCCTGGCCTCAGAGTGTCTCAAGGTTCAGTTTTCACTGTTTAAGGAGTCGGGGCCCAGTCTCTGGCAGGGCTGTACATGACCCCTTCTGTGGGAACCACCCTGGGGCACGTTGGGGCACAGGACTGGGGGCTTCCTGTCAGCCATCTGTGCCAAGTTGGGCTCCCGATTTGGGGTGTCTCAGGCATTGACAGGAATCCTGGAGCCTGGGGCAGACTCTGAAGCTTGTCTGTGGAGGCGTTTGACTCAAATCCTGGGATGCGCTGGGCTCAGGCAGGGTCTGTGGGATGTCTGGTTCTTCTGGGGCTCATGCTGGGCTTTTGTGGGCCCCACTGGGTGTTCTGAGGAGCTCTCTGGAAGCTGCTGTCTGCACAGCCTGGCGGCCTCTGTGTCCTGTGCCCTCCGAGGTCTGCGTGGGGCATGCGGTAGGGGGCGCCTCTGGGCCAGGCGTCAGGCCACATCTGCATTTGCTATGGGGCACCTAAGCTTATTTAGGGCTATCTCTCTCAAGGCTGGTGTCTGTCTCTGGGGTTCACACTGTGGGGGCGACTGGGTCAGTGTTGGGGCCATCCTGGCCCCACCGGTGAGGGAAGCACATGGAGGGTGAAGGTGGCAGCGGGGCCCCCAAGGTGCGGCGCTGGAGCACCCGGTGCCCACAGGTGCGTGTTCCTGCCGGACAACGGCGCCTTCTTCGTGAACTATGTCATTGCCTCGGCCTTCATCGGTAACGCCATGGACCTGCTGCGCATCCCGGGCCTGCTCATGTACATGATCCGCCTGTGCCTGGCACGCTCGGCGGCCGAGAGACGCAACGTCAAGCGGGTATGGCCGCCCCGGCGCAGCGGCCCGTGGGCGCCCTCTGTTGGCCAGATCGGAAATTGCAGCCGTTGGGTTCTTGAGGGGCATAGGGCTGGAACTCTGGGGAACCCGCTTCTGTGGCCCTCATCCCAGTCTCATCTGGGGCCCTTCTTTTCCCATGTACATAGCTATGGTTGACAGGGGAGGCCCTGGAAGCCCCCGATTCTGACAAGATAGTGTTCCATGCTAGGACTTGGGAGAGGTCTGGCCACTTAGATGTAGGTCCCTGTGTCCTGACCACACAGGAGGGTCCTGGTCCCTGCCCGTGATCTCAGCACTCTTGCCCAGAAGGCCCTCAACACCCTCATCATGTCCCTGCCTGCCTCCCTCAGCCACACCCTCTCCTGCCTTCCCTGCCCAACCTTAGGACTCTGCTGTTCCCGGCTTCGTTCCTGACCCCTCTAGGGCTCTTGGTCTCTCCCTGCTGCCCTGGCCTCCAGCCTGTCCCCTGTGCCCTGAGCCCCTCCCGCCCATGTCCCCCCCAGCATCAGGCCTACGAGTTCCAGTTCGGCGCTGCCTACGCCTGGATGATGTGCGTCTTCACGGTGGTCATGACCTACAGTATCACCTGCCCCATCATCGTGCCCTTCGGTAGGCGCCGCCGCGCCGGGACCTGGGCCCTGCTCGGGGGGACCCGGGGCCTTGTCCAGCCACCCTAGAAAGCAGGCCACCCAGAGTGGACAGGGCCCGGCTGGGAGACTGGCCCCTCGGCCTCCCGCCCGGTTCCTGGCCCAATCTGGAGTCCGGCCTGGGAAAGAGAGGGAGCAGCTCAGCTCAGGCTGGACCTGCCCTGTGTGCTGGTCCCGGGAAGACCACCCTGACACGGCCCTGTCAGCCCCACTGGTGCTGCCACTCACCGACATATCACACTGCCACTAACACGCCACAAGCTGCTCACACCCTGCACGCGTACCACGTGGTGAGGCCAGGGAAGACCCAGGTCCAGGGGAGGGTGCCTCCCTGCCACCCACAAAGCTGTTCCTCCATAGCCAAGCGTGTGCCTTGGACAGAGCCCTCTTCTCTAGATGTCTAGCGCAGTTTGCCTCTAACCGTCACCCCTGCAGCCTCTGCTTCCCCGTGACACTCTAACCCTAGCCCAGCCACCTGCTCTGGCCAGTGAAGACTCCGGTTCCCAGCCTAAGCTTGTCCCACCGGAAGCACCCTCAGTCCCAGCCTGCAGGGAACTAGAGCCGTCTGTAACTTAGCTCATATGTGGAGGCTCAGGATGGAGGGAAGCAAGGGCGGCTTCAGGGGGCCCCTGCTGTTTGCTCTGGGCCATCTCTGGGGGCCGGAGTCCTGGCATGGGGCCAGGCTGAGGAGGCCCAAGCCCTGTGCTGCCCTGGGCTGGGGAAGGGACGGCACGCAGGCAGCCAGCCCTGGCGATGACAGAAGGCAGCCTGTGCCGGACACATCCTGGTCCGTGGTGCTGGTTCCGAGGTGAGCGCCGTGTGGCTTCCCCAGGGCTCATGTACATGCTGCTGAAGCACCTGGTGGACAGGTACAACCTCTACTACGCCTACCTGCCTGCCAAGCTGGACAAGAAGATTCACTCGGGTGCCGTGAACCAGGTGGTGGCCGCGCCCATCCTCTGCCTCTTCTGGCTGCTCTTCTTCTCCACTATGCGCACAGGTGGGGGCACCCCTGCCCCTGGAGCTGGGGCTGCGCCAAGACGGGAGGACCGAGTGGCTGGGGGCCTGGAGAGCCCCGGGAAAGCCAGGCCGGAGCCAGGAGGGCGCATCACGGCCAGGTGGCAGCCTTGTCCTTTGTCCCCACTCACCAGGGTTCCTCGCCCCCACATCCATGTTCACCTTCGTCGTCCTGGTCATCACCATCGTCATCTGCCTCTGCCACGTCTGCTTTGGACACTTCAAATACCTCAGTGCCCACAACTACAAGGTGGGGGCCGAGGGCTGGTGGGCACAGCTGCGGGTGGCCCATGGCAGGGCACTGGGAGGCTGCAGGGCTTGGGGACAGCATCTTCCCACCCTGACCCGCCCTGCATCTCTCAAGATCGAGCACACAGAGACAGACGCCGTGGGTCCCAGAAGCAATGGACGGCCCCCCTCAGCTGCTGCCGTCCCCAAATCTGCGGTGAGTGCTCTGTACCCTGGCCAAGGAAGCGGGGTGCCTGATGGAGACTTGGCTCCAAAGCCGGGCACCCCATTCGTCATCAGATGGGGCAGCCTGTTCCAGGCCCTCATCACAGGAGGGCTGTCCGCTGTCAGCCCTGCCCATGCGACTGGACACCCCTTCACCACTGCTCCTCCTCCTGCAGAAGTACATCGCCCAGGTGCTGCAGGACTCAGAGGGGGACGGGGATGGGGACGGGGCTCCTGGGAGCTCAGGGGACGAACCCCCATCGTCATCGTCTCAAGATGAGGAGCTGCTGATGCCCCCAGATGGCCTCACAGACACGGACTTCCAGTCGTGCGAGGACAGCCTCATAGAAAATGAGGTCCACCAGTGAAGGCAGGGCCCTGGAGGCTGCGCCCCCTGCCCGCCCCATGGACACAAGATGCTAATAATTTATTAGATCTAAAGCCCCCCAACCCCTCTGCTTTCATTAAGGTATTTAAATCTGGGGATTTGCCTCTCTCCCCCACAGCGAGGGAGGCAGGGAGCCCTCGCCTCAGTGAGGACAGCCCCGAGCCGGCCCCGGGGCGAAGAGGGGTGTGGGGAGAGTCCCCCAGATCAGCAGCACCCCAGTAGTGTGGTCAGGAAAGGTTGATGAGAGCCAAGAGGGGTACCTGTTGCCATGGCTGGAGACCTGGGGGCAGGCGGCCCAGGGACTGCACACCCCGCTCCAGTCTGTTCTCCCCTCTGCTCCTGGGATCTGGCCCTGCGGGACCTGCAGGATGCATGAGAAGGGGGGGAGCCCAGGGGAGGAGCCCCAGCCGGGACCTGGGTGGGCATGGCTGACACTGGAACACGGGGTTTTGCACTGTTTTGGGGGGTGTTTATTTTTGTTTGTTTTTTTGTTTTTTCATTTTTTTTTTTCCTTTAAAATAAAAACAGAAAAGCTCCTAGGCCAGTGTGATTTGTGTGTTACCTGGTCAGCTGTGCTGGGGCCTTACAGCTGGCAGCCTCTGCACAGCCTCAGCATGAACCCTGGAAAGACTTCAGGTCCTGGGTCTCAGTTTCCCTACTTGGGAGAAGCTGCAGGATGTATCCAAGACAGAGGGGTCCTCTGTACCCCAGTTGAGCTCTGCCGGTACCCCCTTCACTCCCCAGAAGCCCTGAGAGCCACCGGACAGCAGTCAGGGGACACGACCCCGAAAGCCGCCAGGCGCTCACCTTGGGCACCTGCGGGCAGCCTGCAGCGGGCCTGAGCCCTCCATACCACTTCTCTGGGGGCTCTCTGGGACACCAGAGCCACAAGGCCATGTGTGCTGCATGTGCAAACCCCACGGGGCCGTGTGCCCACACACAGCATCCACCCCTGCTCTGTCTCTCATGCATAGCATACATCCTTAACCCTGAGAGAGCCGTGCTTCCTCAGGACCTGTTTCCTCCAATAAAATTGAGGTACAGGACCAGGGGTGGCTTCGCACCCTCCTGTCTGCCCCAGCTACCACATACCAGCAGGACCCAGGAAAGGACACAGTGTATCAGTGGGGGTGGGAAGGAGGATAGAGGTGACAGTCCCTGAGAAAGACTGGCACAGACAGTGTACATTGCCCAGGTACCAGCAGAGGTGGGCAGCATCCAGGGCCAGGGCCTACTGACTACAGAGAGATGGATACCCTCTGCCAGCAGCTGAGCCTGGAAGGCCAACAGCCATGGCAGTAGAGTGAGGTGGCCGCTGACAGTGGCAGTGATAGCGCTGGCCCCAGCCTTCACGCCTGCATCACAGGCGTGGCACCTACAGCAAGAAGCTGAGGACCAGCCAGGGAGCAAGCTCGGAAACTGCACCAGCTGGGCAGAGGCTCCGGAAGCCTCCTCGATGAGGGGTGGGTGCGGGACAACTCTTGTCTGTCCAGTGGGCCCCATGTCAACAGCATGGACCAGACAGACCTCAGCCTGGGCACTCATCAGCAGGGCCCCTCGGTCTCTCCCTGCTCAGCACATCTCCCTGTGCCAGAGCAACCTGGCAGGGCCTGGGCTGCACACCAGGTCCAGCTGTGTACAGATGTGCAGCCCAGGTGGTTCCCAAACCACACACAGTGAAGACGCCCAGGACAGCCCTGGGGGATGGCGGAATTCACCCCAGCCAGCACCCCTGCTCCAGGCTTGTCACACAGAGCAGTTTCCAATTCATTGGTCCCAAAGCACACTCAGTAGGGACAGGAACCCAGCACCCCAGCTCCACAGTCTCACCCCAAAAAGGTGCTGTCCCTGTCACCTCAACTTGAGCTCTCTATCCTAAAGGCCTTTCCTAAAGCCAAATTTCCCGGCAAGTTGGCAGGGGCTGGGTCTCTGAGGGGACAAATGGGAAGATGGAGAGGAGGAAGGTGGCCGGTAGAGGTGGTCACCAGCGAGTTCTGGAGTGGGGGCTGGGCAGACTCTGCTCCCCCAGGGCTTCAACTGCCACCATGGAGCTGGCCCCCTGCATGCACTTCTCCCCCGGTAAGCACCACAGGGCCTTGGTCCCCTGTCCTATGCCTGGGCTTTCTGCAGACCAGACCTCCCCGGAAATGGGTGTCCTGAGCCCCCATCAGACTGGGAGTCCTGTGGATAGAGCTCAGGACTCATGAATTAGACCAGCTGCCCAGTGTGAGAGAACCGGCCTCCAGCAGCAGGAACAGCGTGGTCTCATCCTGCTGAGGGGCTGGCAGTGGGGAGAGGAGAGGGTCAAGTCTGGGCCCAAGCAGCCGTCAGAGCAGTGAGCCTCTGGGGACGGAGTGAGCCATCCCAAGCCCGGACCCTGGGGCCCAGAAAGGGAAAGTCCAAGAGGGTGCGAGGCCAGTGGGGACCCTGGCTTCGGGCCTCAGGAGCACCCAGAGGGGCTGCAAGGCTGAGTTGTTCCTGGGGGGAAAGGGGTGCTGTAGGAGCACTCAGCTGCCAGGTCACCTTTGGGCCATCGCCCCCACCAGCTCCTGGCCAGGCCCTCTGGGGCCCTGAGGCCACAGCACCTCAGTCTCCTCCCGCTCTGGAGACTTCCGGCTCTGTGACCTCAAGGAGCTGATTCTGAAGGCCACTGAGTGGGTGGGCCAGTGAGTGGGGTCCCAGTGTCCCCACCATGGAGGGGGTGCATTATGAGGTGGTGTGTGTTCCTGCCATGTGGACAATTTCAGAACATCGTGGTGGACATGACAAATGTATATTATTTTTTTTTCGTTAATGAAAACATAAAACAATACAGTTCTTTTAAATGTCCAGGTCCCCAGGCCCCATGTCCAGGGTGAACTCTAAGAGCAATGAATCCAAAGCTTCTGTCCATCTGCGCCTTCTAGGGTGTCCCTCTGGTCCCTGTCTGGGCCACACACCAGCTTACTTTGTCTGTCTGTCTGTCTCTGCCTGCCTGCCTGCCTGCCTGCCTGCCTGCCTGAGCTCAGTCCCCAACCTCAACCTAGGCACAGGGCCGGGCCCGCATCCCCCAAGGGAGGTTTCCTGTGACAGCTGCGCCCTTGTATGGCTGCAAGCTGTGACGGGCTCAAGTCCCCGGGTTTGGGGAATCCGACTGAGTTTGGGACACGCTAGTGAGAAGAAACAAGGGTCTGAGGGCTTGAGGGTGAGATTAGCCACAATGGCAACCCCTGGCATGATCCCCAGCACCCCAGGAGAGAGCACACCGAGGGATGGACCCCATCCTGCGGGCCCTGAGGTGGACAGATACTGAGGGTCCTTTCGCGGTGGGTTGGCCAGGCCTCACCCTCACCTGGTTTCTCAGCCTGGCCAGGTGCTGTGGGCACTTTGGGTGTGCTCATTCTCTGTCCCGGGTGTAGGGGGCGCTGTCCAAGTGTCCAAAGACGTTTGGCAGCACCAGGGGCCTCCTGTGGTGCCACCATCCAGCGGTGATGACCAACTGTCTGGACCCGGTGGAGTCCACAGGGCAGCATGGCCTTGGGGAAGGCTCGCCTGGACCCCTGCAGGGCCTTGGCTTCTCTCCCAGTTGAGCTCAGAGTAATGGTGACTGGAGGCAGGAGGATGAAAGAGAAACCCCTGGTCCCACCCTCCTTGGGGACCTCACCCCTTTCCTGGGAGAGCTCCTGTCAGTGGGGTGATGGGTTAGCCCCACAGCCTCTTCATCTTTAGAGAGAAAAATAATCACCACATGTGCCCTTTTTAACCCTCTCCCCAGAGTCAGAGGGAGCTCCTCTACTATTTATAAATATTTTCCTTTCTACTTTTGGAGACAAAGTTGCTCAGGCTAACCTCAAACTTGAGATCCTCCTGCTGAGCCTCCCAAGTAGCTGGGGTCACAGATGTGCACCTCCATTGCTGGCTCCTCTACTTCTAAGAGAACCCCAGAGCACTTGGGTTGAAAGGGGAGCAGAAGTGATTCTTAAAGCCAGCAAACCCAGAGGGACCCCAGACAGTCCTTGGTGCTGCCACAGTGAGCTCTGCTCCTTCCCACTGGCGCTGGCCACTCTGGCTGCCCACCTCTGAGGCTGGGCAGGAGCAAAGAGCAAGCGGGAAGGCTGTGAGGGGGGCTGCTGCCCAGGCTGCCTCCGAAGGCCGGAGGCCCAAGGCGGAGCCGCACCCTCTCCACCCTGTCACCATCAGTATGGGAACTTTTCCTGGGAGAAAGGAAGAACCACACTGCGCTTCTTTTCCAGAGCTGCCGGAAGAGCATTGTAAGCACTCACTGAGCACCTACTGTGTGCTCAACACAGCAGCAAACACGCCACAAACCCTGCCTTTCTGAGCTTTCACTTCCTACCTGTAGTACTGGGGATTGAAACCGGGGCCTTCGCAATGGGCTACCTTTCTAATTTTTGAGATAGGGTCCTGCCAAGTCACTTAAATTTCCCAGGCTGGGTTTGAACTTGTGACTCTCCTGCCTCTCCTCCTAGCCAGCTGGGATGACAGTCATGAGCCATGGCACCTGGCTGTATTTTACTATTTAGAAACTAATGTGATGTTCCCCAAGGTGGCTGCACCATTTTTATTCCCACTGGCCAAGTCCAAAGACTCTGATTTTTTCCATCTCATCCCCAACACTTATTAGTATTCACCTTTTCCATGACAGCCCAACTGACTATGAAGAGGTTTCTCCTTGTGGTCTTGATTTGCATGCTTCTGATAAAGAATGATGTGAGCTCTTTCCCCCAGTGATTACTGGTCCTTCGTGTAGCTTCTGAAAAATCTATCTGCTCCATTTCTAAGTAGGGCACCTGTCTTTTATTACCAAGCAGAGCCCTTTACAGGCGTGGCAGCCTCCATAACCCACAGCCGGCTCAAGGCCAAGGGCGTGGGTGAGCACCACAACGCCTACAGCTTTCGCGGCCAGAGCTTCGAGAGCCTGCACGAGGCCTGCCTGAGGGAGAGGGAGCTGTTTGAGGATCCCCTGTTCCCCGCCGAGCCTCGCTCTCTAGGCTTCAAGGACCTGGGTCCCAACTCCAAACAGGCACAGGACATCCACTGGCTGCGGCCCAAGGTGGGCACTGGGTGGGCAGTCCGACTGGAGCCCAGGTTCCCCTCTGTCCCCTCCAGACCCCCAGGGACAGTTCTGGGCCTGCTTTGCACAGGGTCCCTCTTAGCCTGCAGTCCTCACCATGCTTTACTGTCTCAGATAAGCTGTGTCCGGCTGGTCTGGGTCCCCATCATCTGCTCCCCTGAAACCAGACAGGTGAGGGAGGTGGGAGGAGGTGCCCAGCCCCCACTACCCTTCTTCCTCCCCCCACCGCAGGAGATCACACGCAATCCCCAATTCATTGTGGATGGGCCCACCTCAACGGACATCCGGCAGGGGGGCGTGGGTGAGTAGGGACCCTGGGGGGCACTGGTTCAGACAGCCCACTGTGCTTCCCTGGCCCTGTCCTGCACACCCACAGCCTGAGTTTGGAGTAAAATGGGGTGACATTAGTTAGCCATTGCTGCATGATAAATCACCCATATTTAGGGATTTAAAACCCCTAACCCAGAGCCAGGGCTTTGCACATGCTCCACTACTGAGCTACATTGCCAGACAGTCAACAAGGTCTTGCGAAGTTGGCCAGGCTGGCCTTGAACTTGCAACCCTTCTGCCTCAGCCTCCCAAGGAGCTAAGATTACAGGCGTGCACCAGTGTGATAGCAACAAGTATTTCTTACCCCAGAGTTTCTGTGGGTCAGGAAGTCAGAAGCAGCCTGGCCAGGTGGGTCCGGCTCAAGGTCTGTCTAGAGGTTGCCCACTGGGCTATGTCTTCAGAGGATGTCCCCAGGCTGGCACTGTCCCCAAGGCTTCTAAGTGTCCACACAGCCCAAGAGCTGCCCTCTGTCAAAGTGAGTGATCCCAGAGAGGACGAGGAGAGGCCACAGTCTCTTGTGACCTGGTCTCAGGAGTTACACATCTCTCTGCTCCGTCTGTGAGAAGCCAGCTCTGACTCTGGACAGCAAGTGGGCCCCATCTTTCAAGGGGGCACAGATGTAAGGACAGGTTTTTACCCCACTGCCAAGGTCAGAACCTTCCCAGCCCGGGTATCGAGTAAGGGGCACCAGTGTTCTTCCCAGCCACATGCAAGGCTGACCCCAGGAGGCAGGTGGCAGTGGAGACTCATGGTGCTGGGGGACTGAGGAGCCCCTGGGTCTCCCAGAAGATGTGGTGACAGGAGGGACAGAACTCCTGGGCCCTTCCTCACCACGCCAGGACACCCAGGATAGGATGAGGGTCACGGGGAAGAGGCTGGGTTTATACACGAGACAGAGCAGGTTGGCTGCCCAAGAAAGCAGGTCCTGGAGCCAAGTGAGGCCTGGGCCACTTCCTTTCCTGAGACCCCCTGATCCGGGCTCTAACAGAACAGGCAGGGCCAAGCTCACCCTGCACCCCTGCCCTGTCCCCTGCACTCCTGGGAGCTGAGGGGCATCACTCAAGCCCCCTGGTCTGGCAGGGGACTGCTGGCTGCTGGCTGCCATCGGCTCTCTGACCACGTGCCCCAGGCTGCTGTCCCGCGTGGTGCCCGGAGGCCAGAGCTTCGAGAAGAACTACGCTGGGATCTTCCATTTCCAGGTGAGATATGTTGGCGGGAGGGAGGGGAGAAAGCCCAGCTCAGTGGCGCATGCATGACCCCAGCCCTTTGAGAGGCTAAGGCAGGAGGATGACAAGATGTTGCTCCCTGAGCAGTTTAGTGACTTAGAGAGACACTGTCTCAAGAACAAACAAACAGGGGGCTGGGGATTTAGCTCAGCAGCATAAGCACCTGCCTTGCAAGCAGACAGTCAAGAGTTCGGTCCCCGGTACCGATTAAAAGGAAAAAGACAAAAAAAAAAAGATCTAAGTGACTTCTCACCTATCTGAGAAATAAATGGTAGTCCAAAACCATGCAAGCTAAATTTTAAGCCTCCAAAGTAAATAGTGAGGAGCTTGTGTCTTTCCTTTTCATCTCATTGTTTGTGTCTAGACACGCATGTGCCTGTGCGTGTTTGTTTGTCCATGTGTGTGACACTGGAAGCTTCCGTTCTGTCATTTTTGTGCTGTGTCCTTTAATTTAATAATGCATGGGCTCTTCTGTGTATCGCAGATGTTTTCCTGAGCGGAGCACTTAGGTCCCCAAAGCTCTGACCCTGAGCTATAGGGTGAGCAGTGCTGGGGAGTGGGACCTATGTGTTACTAGTCATAGCCACCAGGGGGCGCAGGCATGACAGCGTCCCAGCGTGCACGGATGCATGGGCATGTGCGAGTGCGTGCATGTTTGCCTTATGACAAGTGCGTGCACGTGCTTGCGTGTCTGTGCGTGCACACGTGTGTGCAGCTGTGAGCACGTGTTCGTATGTGCCCTGCTGAGCGCCTCGCCCCTGCAGATCTGGCAGTTCGGGCAGTGGCTGGACGTGGTGGTGGATGACCGTCTGCCCACCAGGGCCAACCAGCTGCTGTTTGTGCACTCGGAACAGCGCCAGGAGTTCTGGAGTGCCCTGCTGGAGAAGGCCTACGCCAAGTGAGCCTGGGCCTCAGGGAGACCAGCCAAGCAGTCCTCAGTCCCACTCACACCCCTGCCCGGAGCCCCACTATGCCTCTGCCCACAGGCTGAGCGGGTCCTATGAGGCACTGGCAGGGGGCAGCACCATAGAGGGCCTAGAGGACTTCACGGGTGGTGTGGCACTGACCTTCCAGCTCCAGAACCCCCCACCCAATCTGCTGTGGCTGATGCGCCGGGCCCTGGAGCACTGCTCTCTCATGGGCTGCTCCATTGAGGTAAGCTGTGCCTGCCCCAGGGCCTTTGCACCTGCTGCTGGCCTTTCTACCCCAAGGGCTCCTACCTCAGGTGTACATAGAACCAGCTGTCCTCTTCAGGTCCCAGCTCAGCTGTCCTCTCTGGTGAACTTTCTATGTGGCTTTCTCCCCTACACCCATTGTGTCTGTTTATCTATACATCTCTCTGTCCAGCAACCACCTGCCACCAGAGTGGTGATCTTATTTGTGTCATTCAGTGCTTTGACCTGGGGCTCTGGACTGTATCTAGCATAGGACAGGCATCAAACAAAAACTTACACAAAGGAATGGGTGAAGCCAGCATGGTGCTCTAGGACCAGCAGTCATGTTCTCGGCCATCCGTCACTTGTTCCCACACAAAGCATGTTCTCGGGACACTACAGCCCAGATGTAGGTGTCCTATAGTCAGGCAGGGCCACAGCCATGAAATATTACTCAGCAATGAAAATAACCAGGCCCTTTGACAAATGGGGCCCAGAGCAGTGACAGGTGGGGGAAGAGAAGGAAAGGGAAGGAGAGAAGAGGTGAGCGGTAATAAACAGGCAACCAAAGGACATTTCTGTCCTCTGACTGTGGGGCAAACAACACACGTGGTGCATCACAGGGAACACATACAGATCATCACTAATGAGCCTGGGGGTCTGGGAAACGTCCAGGGGTCACATCAGTGCCAACATCCCAGCTTAATGTCTCTCACAATAGCTTTGCAGGATGTCATTAAGGGGAAACTTAAAGAGCAGACAGGCTCTATCTTGTTTTTATTATTATTATTATTATTATTATTATTATTACTAGAATCAGGGTCTTGGGGCTGGGGATTTAGCTCAGCGGCATAAGCGCCCGCCTTGCAAGCAGGCAGTTGTGAGTTCGATCCCTGGTACCGATAAAAAGGAAAAAGACAAAAAGAAAAAAGAAAAAAAGAATCAGGGTCTCACTGTGTAATTCAAGGTGAGCTTGAACTCATTACGGAGCCTAGGCTGGCCTCAAACTTGCCGTCCTCCTGCCTCAGCCTCCCAAGGGGTGGGATTACAGGAGTGCACCACCATGGCCGACTGTGTTACTGCTTACAACCATGTGCCCAGGTATTTGGGAGTAACTACTCCCAAATATACAGTGTAATTTAAAAAGAAAGACCCCATGAGTTCTTCCCTCCTCCGGGCACCTGGTCCAGACCCTGCCTTCCTCCTCCTCACCCTGCAGGTCACCAATAACAGTGAGCTGGAGTCCGTGACGCCGAGCTTGCTGGTGAGGGGCCACGCTTACTCAGTGACTGGCATGGTGGAGGTGAGTCCTGGCCACAGCCCACCCCAAGAGCCATGAGAGGGACGGGGCCCCTGCAATGGCCCTGACCTCTCCTCCTCCACCAGATCCCCTACAGGGGCCGGACAGAGACGCTTCTGCGGCTGCTCAATCCCTGGGGCCGGATTGAATGGAACGGAGCCTGGAGTGACAAGTAGGGGGCCGATGTGGAGTCCAGGATGCCTGTGGGGGCCAGGCAGTGCCTGCGGGTGGCAGTGTCCAGGGGGAGGCGGTGTCCCTGGCCCCCTCCAGCCCTGCCTCCTGCAGCTCTGCAGAGTGGGCCGAGGTGGACGACAGGATCCAGAGACAGCTGCTGCACAGGAAGGAGGACGGCGAGTTCTGGTCAGTGTGGGGGGCTCCCGACCCGCGCCCCGTCCCCATCGCCTAGCCGTGCCGGGCTGGGTGTGGAGGCTGGGGCACCCTGGGCATGCCCGCCTCCCTGCCACAGGATGTCCTTCCACGACTTCCTGGGCCACTTCTCCTTCCTGGAGGTTTGCAACCTCACCCCCGATGCCCTGGCCGGGGACACCACGAGGCACTGGCACGTCACCTTCTATGAGGGCAGCTGGCGGAGGGGCAGCACTGCGGGGGGCTGCAGGAACAACCCTGGTGAGTGAAGGGCTTGGGGGGCCGGGGTACCTGAAGTCAAGTGTCCACTGGACCCCTGGACTCCCTGCACAGCCCCGCACCTTGACCCCCAACCGCCTCCCCACAGACACATTCTGGACCAACCCCCAGTTCAGGGTCTCACTCTTGGTGGGGGATGACCCCGAGGATGACCCAGAAGATGACACGGTTGTCTGCACCTGCGTGGTGGCTCTGATGCAGAAGAACTGGAGGCTTGGCCAGCCACACGGGGCCACGCTGCTGACCATCGGCTTCGTCATCTTCCCGGTGGGCACCGCACACCTCCCCTGCCCTCGCTTGGCCATAACCTCCGACCTTCTCCCCGGCTTCGGCCTGGTCCTTTCCTTCCACTGCCCTAGCTGGGCGGCATTTCCTCTGTGACATATGTCATCTCACATCCTTGTGGCACCCATGCTTTTGAAAAAGAGGAAGGAGTTTGGGAGCCAGAAGGCTCAAGTCACAGCCACACACATATCCAAGGGTCAAGAGCGGGGCCCATGCCCTAGTCCCAGACTTGGCACAATTGTCACCTCCCCCAACAAGGATCCCCGCCCTCCGCCACCTTCCCTGTGGCCCTCTGTCCAGGGACCTAAAGAAATTCCAACAGATTTCCCAGGATGCATGGTGCTTTGCAAATCCCAGAACCAGCCATCTGATCACCCACATCTAGCTACATTAAGTATTTATGGATCACCTACTGTGTTCGAGGTCCCTCTCCCATCCCGGGCACAGCAGAAAGAGCCATGCCTGGAGGTGTGAGCACAGCAGAATCAACCCAGCAGACCCAAGCCCTGAGCTCCAAGGCTGCACCTGCAGAATTCACAGATCCAAGAGGACCTTGAGGCTCGGGTCCAAGGTTATGGCCATCATAACCCAGTGCTACAAGAGTTAGGGGATTTTAAAAAGACTTCTTTTGAAGCGCATGCACCTCTGCCTGCCTAGCACAGATGAGCACTTACTGCTGGACCTTCCCTGATGCATCGTATCACCCGGCCAAGCAGAGGAAACCACGAATTCAGATCTCGCTGCTCCTCCTCCTCCTCCTCCTCCTCCTCCTTCTTCTTCTTTTCTTCTTCTTCTTTTCTTCTTCTTCTTCTTCTTCTTCTTCTTCTTCTTCTTCTTCTTCTTCTTCTTCTTCTTCTTCTTCTTCTTCTTCTCCTCCTCCTCCTCCTCCTCCTCCTCCTCCTCCTTCTCCTCTTCTTCTTCTTTTCTTCTTCTTCTTCTTCTTCTTCTTCTTCTTCTTCTTCTTCTTCTTCTTCTCTTCTTCTTCTTCTCCTTCTCCTTTTCCTTCTTCTCCTTCTCCTTCTCCTTCTTCTTCTTCTTTCTTCTTCTTTTCTTGGTTCAGTTTTTTGAGGCAGGACCTCATTCTATTGCCCATGCTAGCAATGAAATCAATGGTGATCCTCCTGCCTCAGCCTCCCGGAGTGCTGGGATTATGAGTGTGTGCTGTGACATGCTGCTTTTAACTCACCAAAGCTCACTTGGTGTTGGGCAAGATCTTGCACATCTGTAGTCCCAGCACTTTGGAAGTGGAGGCCTGGAGGGGCGATTGAACCCACAAGTTTAAGGCCAGCCTAGGCAAACTGTAAGACCCCATCATAAAAAGCAAACACACATCCTTGTTTACCCTTAGTCCTCGATTTCAATGATCTCCTGTCTGCTTCCTGCAGGAAATGAGTGTTCCTTGGAATAGATTCCCGGAAAAGCCTCTGTTAGATTTTTTTCCCCTAGCTCTTTCACTTTTATCAGTGTGAGGTCAACAAATCACCGCGCTTCTGGGGACTGAGTTTCCTGTCCTTAGCCTGGCCGATAAAGATCTGCTTGTCAAAGCTCTGAGGAAACTGTATTTTGCTGTCTGAAGCTGCCGGCTCCTCGGTGCTATCAGACCCGCGTCCCACCCAGCACCATCACCCCAGTGCCTGTGAACGCACCCCAACACTGTCGCACACACCCACTGTGCGTGCCCTGCTCCCACACCCACGAGGTCTGACCCTGCTCTCGCTTGTCCCCCAGGTTCCCAAGGAGGTACAGGAGACCAGGACCCAGGGTGTCCTCCTAGGCAATGCCCAGTTCACCCCAACTTCGTATGGATGTCAGGGATGGGATCTGGCCTCGAGCACGGGGAGCACTGGCTTGGGAGTCCAGCACCCTGGGGACCTGGTGGGGCTTGAGGAGGAAGGGACCACCCCGGAGCTGCCTGTCCCGAGGATGGGGTCCAGGCCAGCCAGCTGCTCCCCGAGGCCCTGTCCGGGGCCCGTGCCCACTGCGGGGCCCGCAGTTTCAGAGGCTTCAGCACGGCCACCTAAGGAAAGACTTCTTCGCGCGGTACCCAGACCTCGGCTTTTCTGAGATCTTCACCACCGCAAGGGAGGTGCACAACCAGCTGCGGCTGTCGCCGGGCGAGTACATCATTGTCCCCTCCACCTTCGAGCCGCACCAGAACGCTGACTTCCTGCTTCGAGTCTTCACGGAGAAACACAGCGAGTCCTGGTGAGGATGACAGGTCCCCCCCCACAGCTGCAGGACTCCGTGCTGAGGGCTGTCACATGCCCCTCCTCCTTGGGGTCCCTACTCACGCTTGGGGAGCCTAAGACATGAAAGATGAGGTCCCAGTTAGGAGTAGCACTAGAGCCAGGACTAGACCCCAGATCCCAGAGTGTCTGATGCGATGTGACCCCGGGACCACCCAAGGCATCCCCGTTCCCCAGCCCTCATAACCGGAAGCCTTCATCCCCTTCACTCAGGGAGCTGGATGAAGTCAACTACGCTGAGCATCTCCAGGAGGTGAGGGAGGCCTGGCCTGGCCGGGGATGGAGGGACCCGGGGTGTGTGTGCACAGAATCTGGACTTCACGCCCCACCCCCCAGGAGATTGTCTTGGAGCAGGACATGGACCAGAGCATCCTCAGTCTATTTGAATCGGTGGCCGGTGAGGTGAGAGAGCCCAGGTCTGAGGCTGCAGAGAGGCGGCTGATGGGATGAAGGGATGGGGTCAGGGGTTTACGGTCCCTTTTCCTAGGACGAAGAAATAAACGTGCACAGGCTTCAAGTTCTGCTCAGCAGGTTGGCCTTCAGATGTGAGTCTCTGCCCCAGCCCTGCAGCCCATGGCTGGCATTTCGTCCCTTCTTACCCCACGCCCCATCCATTCCAAGCCTTCTTCCCACCACCCCAGTGAGCAACTTCAAGACCACGGGTTTTGGCCTGAATACCTGTCGTCATATGATCAACCTCATGGACGTATCTTCCATGTATGTGGATGGGCCTGTCCCATGCCCTCTGGCCCCTGCCCTGCACCGCCCACCCCTGACTCCAAGGCACCACCTCTCTGGACAGCCTTGGCCTCCTATGGGATGGGGATGAAACCCTGGGATTGCAAAAGATGCTAGTTCTAGCTGGGCACAGTGGAGCAGGCTTGTACCCCTATTACCCTGGGAGGCTGAGGCAAGAAGATTGCAAATTTGAGTCCATCCTGGGCAATTTAGTAAGACCCTGTCTCAAAATAAGAAAATAAAAAGGGCTGGGGGTACAGCTCAGGTCAAAGACGCCTGGGTTTAATCCCCAGTACTGGGAGGAAAAAAAGAGATGCCAGTCCTCGTGGCTGTAGCCATTGAGGAACTGGAGTCTGCGCCCCATGGTGAGCCCCTCAGCTCCCTGGCTCGGAGTGGCCCCTTCATGTCCATCCCTACAGTCCTTGACTAACCTCCAGAAAGATGGCTCGGGCAAACTGGACCTTCTGGAGTTCCAGATCCTGTGGAAAAAGATCAGGAAATGGGTGGTAACTGGCACCAAGGGGTGGATCATCTTGGGGCACAGGGTGGCCCTCCAGGGGGAGGGATAAGGAAGAGTGAAACACAGCACAGTCCTAGAGCCAGCACACATCCATGCACACACACACACACACACACACACACACACACACACACACACACACACACACACACGGCATGGCGCCCCCTGCTGGAGCTGGTGCATGTTCATCAAGATGCTTAATAAACCGCATGGCCAGGTCTGAGGGTCACCGTGGCAGCAGGAAACGCCAGGCATCAGAGGCCCTTGCTGTGCTTGGCATTAACCCTTCAGCCCCTGGGTAATCAGGAGCTCAAGGATTAGGCTGGGGTCCCAACATTGGTACCGGGACCCCGGTATTTAATGATCCCAACCCCACACCCTGCACCCGGTCACCCCACACTCAGGATGTCTTTCAAGAGTGCGACCAAGACCATTCGGGCACCCTGAACTCCTACGAGATGCGCCTGGCCGTGGAGAGAGCAGGTAGCTGGGGCAGATGGGGCTGCAGGGTGGAGGCAGGCTGTGTCCAGAGGCCCGCACTGTCCCCTTCCTGTCCTCTCCATCCCAGGCATTAAGTTAAACAACAAGGTGGCAGAGATCTTGGTGACTCGGTATGCAGATGACAACCTGACCGTGGACTTTAACAGCTTCCTCTGCTGTTTCCTGAGGCTGAAGGCTATGTTCAGTGAGTGGGGCAACGGCCTGCACCCCACGCAGCCTTGGCGAGCCCTGGGACCCACAGGACCTAGCTGTCCAGGGGCTCCAGCCCCCTTGATAAAATGAGAGATGTAGTGGGGGTGAGAGTGGCCCCAGGACTGAGGGGTGGAGGAGAGCAGTGAGCCCCAGGCTAGGAGCCCCGACTCTGGCTCCAGGCAAGGCTGATGAGCTGGGCTGGGGTGCGCATGGGCTATATCTGAGATGCACCTGGGTGTATCTATCTAAGAGTGCATCTGGGCGCCCTAGTCAGGCTGGAGAAGCAGCAGGAGCATGGCGTCTAACCCTTCTGACTCGGGGATGGGCCCTGCAGCTCCAGCCGGCTCTCAGCCCCGTGTCCGGTCTCCTCTGTACTACAGCATTCTTCTTTTTCTTTTTTAACACAGTGTTCTTTCTCACCAGTGATCCAAATAACACTGGCTATATTCGCTTAAACCTGGAGCAGGTGCATGGGAAGGGCTGGAGGGGCGTCCAGGTCCCACCCCAGTGACCGCTGTTGCCCCCCACCCCTCTCCTAGCCGCCCCCCCAACTGCTCTTGTCTCCACAGTGGCTACAGATGACCATGTGAGGGCAGCCGGTTCCCCTGCCCGCGGGGTCCTGGATCAGCAGGGCAGGTGCTCTGTGCCACCCCAGTGCCCTGCCCCTGCAGGTGGCATGGGCCCCACCTGCTGAAGTTCCCCTGTGCCTGCTGTCCCAGCTCAGAGCCCCCTTTCCTTACCCCTGCCAGGCCTGGGTTGGCCCCATGGTCTGCAACTCTGTCTGACTCTTATTTTACTAAAAGTTAAGTGACAGTTGCCCAGCATCCCAAGTCCACCCACACCCACCTGCGGCCACCCCTCACCCGTGGATTGTGTTATAATAAATGGCACTTGCTGCCTGCTGCTGGGGTCTGTGTCTCTGTGCCATGCAAAGCCAGCACCAAAGTGGGGGTCCCCAGCTCCCAGTGAAAAGGATGGTACCCCACCTCTGGGAGCACTTAGGAATGTGTGCTTGAAGCCAGGCATGCTAGGGTCACACCTGTAATCCCAACACTCGGGAGGCCAAGGCGGGAGAATCATAAGGTGGAGCCAAGCCTGGGCACTCAGTGATTTGGAGATACACTGTCTCAAAATAAATTAAGTTTTATAAAGGGTTGAAAGTCTTTGTTTCAGTGCTGGAAAGAGATGGAGAAAAAAAAGGAGAAGGGAGGGAAGGAAGGATGGAAGGAAGAAAGGAGAGCTTGATCTGATGACTAGGGCACTGTCAGCACTTATGGGCAGTGCCAGGAAGCTTGGGCACCACCAGTCCCTGGGGTGAGACTGTGTGGGGCCAGTGGGCGGCAGGTTGGCGATGGATGGGGCAGAGAGACTGAGCCAGCTGCCCACAGAACCTGCCTTGCAGCTGGCAGTGAAGGGCCACAGCCCCCAAGCCCCTCTATGATCTCCAGCCTGACTCTGGGGTCCCTGAAGGTGGCATCGCAGGGCCTCAGAGATCAAAGTGCTGACACCTGCAGTGGCCGCAGGCTCTGTGGGTTGCAGGGGCCTGGTGAAGACGCGGCCCCGTGGTGGCTCAGCGCTGCCTTACAGGTGTCAGAGCCAAACCGTCACTGCTGTTGGTGGGAAACTGTGGCCTGGCAACCCGTCACCAGGGGCCCGGTCACCCGCCCGTCTGCCATCAAGAGTACAAGTAGGAAAAACCCAAGGAAAAGGGGAGATTGAACTTCTTCACACTTGGCCAAACTGGGGGCAGTTGGTACCCCCTGCTGCTGTGCACAGAGGGGCTTTTTCTCCATGAGGGGCATCACTGAGGCCAGGACCTGCCAGGCCCAGAAAGATGCCAAATTCTGGCTCTGTGAAAATGTTCTTGGCAGGAGGGCTGCAGATGGCCTTTGCCCGTCTCAGTTTGAGGCAGATGGGCTCACAGCTTAGCTTTAAAGCCTAAGGGCTAACGCCACTTCTCTTCCCAACTGTGGATCTACTCTGCCAATCCCCCACCCCTGGCTCAGGGATGGGCCCTCATGAACTGTGTTGAAAAATGAAACTTCATTTTATTTACTTATTTTTTATTCTCTGTGCTGGGGATGCAACCTTCCGCATGCAAGGCAAGGGTCCTCTACTGCGAGCTGCTCCTCCAGAACCCTAAATGCAACTAGATCCTTCCCGATTCAGCTTCCCCCTCCGGTGCTGCCCACCACGGTGCTAACTAGGCCACCTCAGCACGCTGAGAGGACAGCTGGAACTCAGGTCCTCCGGGGCCTGTGACCAGGGACTTGAGGCCAGCAAGCCCACCTCCTGTGTAACTTCAGAGACCCAAGCTGGTCAGCCTGGAAAGAGGGTCACTCCCACTGCTTGTCCAGGAGCCATTTCCTGACCTGCCACCCCCTTTCCCAGTGATAGATGGAACTCTAAGAGCCTCTTACAGGGCGGATGCCGCACCCTCATCTTCCTTCCCACAGAGCTGCTAAAGGTCCCCAGAGGCCAAGGAACACTGGGAAGCAACACTCCAGGGAGACTTTTATCCCCCAGTCTTGGCTCTTGCTCTGTGGAGGGTGACACTGCTAATGTCAAGCCAGGATGGAAGGGAAGCAAACACTCCCAAATCCAGAGGTCACTTCTTTCTTTAAAATGCTGGGGGTTTTTTTGGTGCCGGGCATTGAACTCATGACCTTGCGTTTGCCAAGCAGGCACTTATGCTGCTGAGCTAACCCCCTAGTCCCTAAAATGTTTTAAAAATATATTTTTATTTTTAATCCACACCTAGTAAGTGTCCATTAGTCATGGGACTCAGTGTGATATTTCAACACACATGTGCGATGGCGGTGGTCCCAAGTGCTGGGATTAAAGGTGTGTGCCACCATGCCTGACTTGCTTTTGTTATTGTTAAAGTGCTGGGATATGGCTCCACGCTCCCTGGCTTGGCAGACAGCATTTTGGATGTTCTCAGCACACGTGATAACTGTCCCAGGGGACAGATCTGCTGATGACCTGGTCTGACCACCACGCCCGGCTGAAAATGTATACATTTGTGCACACACACAGGTGACTCTGTACACATGCTTCCTCCATCCTGAAGCAACAGCAGTGCTCCCAGAGCAGCAGGCACATGCAGCGGCCGGGTACAGGTTTCTGATTCCTTTCTCCAATAAATAGATTGGAATGAGATAGGAGGAAACTGCACAATCTCCGCGATTTTCCTATAAATCCAAAACTATTCTAAAGTACACAGTTTATTTTTAAAAGTCGTTAACATACATATCTTGGAGATATTTTTCTATTCGTGTGTAGAGAGGCTCCTTACTACTTTTAGAGTTGCGTGCCGTCCGCTCTATCAAAGTTTCATTCGTATCTTCTCATAGTTCTGTGGTGACGCTGTTCCCTGACTTTAGCTTTTAGAAACGACTAACACAGTAAGTGACACTACGCACTACGCATGTGTCAAACTATAGGATGCATTTCTGAAAGCAAGTCTATTGTGCGAGAGGTACACAGTATCTCTAAGACAGCAGTAATTAGAATGAGGATTAAGTTCTCTTCCATTTCATTTGCACTCTGCCAGCAAGACCAGAGCCCGCTTATTTCCCGCAGCCTCGTGGACGCAGCGTGCTCTGCTCTCACGTTCTTTGCCCGTTTCCCGCAGACCAAAGCCTCGGCGTCTCAGTGGAGCCTGGGTTTGCATTTCTCTTGCTGCAGTGAACCTGAGCGCAGATTTGTGCTTTGCTTCTGTCTACATCCTGTTTTCCACATATCCCTTGTACATTTGTATTTTGGGCTTTCTTGGTTTTCCTTACAAAGGTCTAGGAACTGTTTGTATTTTAGGAAGATGAGACGTTAGCCAGCTGCGGGGATTGTAAACATTTCCCTTCTTTTGTCATCAGTCTTCCTCCTTGGGTTTTAGTTCCTGCCACGTGCACTGTGCCCCTTGTGCCCTCCCAGAGCCACATCTCCAGGCCCTTGTCGTCCCGTGATCTTCCTGACAACCCACTGGGAGGATTCCAGCCTGAGGATTCCTCCCTCAGCCCCATGTAAATAGCATCTATGTTCCTCTGGATTCAAGGTCACATATTCTCATTAAAATACAGGAAGCACAGAAAAATACAGAAGAAAATCCAAACTCCGTTTCACCGCCCTCCTGGGGTAACTCTTCCTGACTTTGTCCGTGCTTCCATGTTGTGTCTGCGGCATTTTACTTACAAAATCAATCTCTTAACCTGGAGCAGACCGGCCGGGAGGCCACAGCTGTGCTTCCTGGCCTGGTGGGCCACTCCTTGCGTGCTTTCCGATCCCAAAGCAGCTGGCAGGCATTTCCTGTCCTGCTCAACCCCATGAAGCCTCAGGGTCTCTTTCACCAAACTTCTGTCCTCCACCCCAAAGCCACAGAGGCTCTAAGGATTCAGAATCACCCTGGTTTCCTTGTTTCTTTCAGCATCTTCTTGCAAAAAGGACAAGACTTGGGTCCATAAGAACTTTTTTTCTTTTGAAATAAAAGTTTCACTATGCAGTTCCAGCTGGCCTTGAACAAACTAGTCCAGGCTGGCCTTGAACTCACGGTGATCCTCCTGCCTCAGCCTCCCAGATGCTAGGATCACAGTCAAGCGCCACCACACCAGCATCCACAAAGTCGTTTGTTCCATTCACAGCCCAAGTGGACGGGGGTGGTGGAATAGGTTGCCCAGAGATGGAAGAAAATACCCAGAGATTGCTGTGGGAGACAGGGTTTATTAAAATATCAACAGGAAAAGATAGGGCTGAGATTCATTAGCAGAGAAGGACAGAGTCCAGTGGAGGCAGGCCAGACAGGACAGTCACCAGAAAGTACCCAGAAAGTCCAGTGGCAGCAGTCTAGACTAATTCATTGCCAGGGCCTGGCGGGGAGCAGACATGAAGCGGCCAGAGAGAACCTGGGTGATGGTTCTTGGAAATACTCAGTTATTGCAGGGAGGGGGTTTATTGATTAAAGCACCTAACAGTGACATTAGCATGCCTTGTCTCATGGTAAGGGCAGCATTCCAAGAAAGAGATGACTTGGCACACAGGCAGGAAGGGAGTTTCTACAGATAACATTGGTTTGCCGAGGGTCCTTCAGATAGTACTCCTCCGGACATTCCAGTCCCTGTCCGTTTACAATGTCCACTTGATTTGGCAAGCATCACAGAAACACAGAAAGGTCATTTCAGGGACATGCAACTAATTGCCTTCGTTTTTTCTCAGGGAATGTACACTCCACCCCCGCTGTGCCTGCCCACCCTGAGGATCTCACCACACCCGCATCCTCCAGGCGGCTCTCAGACGGTGCACCGAGACCGGATCCCACAGTAACAGCACAGAGAGCAGTAGATTATAAGCAGCCCTGTTACAAAGACAGGCAAGTGGAATAACACGGTTCCCCAGGTGGCAGGAAGAAATTGTAACCAGTCGGAGACAGGACAAACTCTTGAGTCGATCTATAACCATTATAAGAGGTGACGATGTATGTCAAACTCAAGATGCACCATGAGAATTACCCAGGATGTGCATGGACGCGTCTATTCCATGTTCTGTACTATGAGGGGCCCTAGTGTGTCCCGCAGCCACCCCAGATGGTAGGACCCCAGCAAAGACTCAGTTATGTTCAATTGTTCCCATTCAGAGAGAAAAAACAAGTATGTAGTGTGATCTAAGGAAGGTGATTTTTTTTAACCAATTATACAGATTTTTATTTAAAAATAATGTCATCATTAAAGGTGCTCATTAAAAATATGAAGACATGGGCTGGGAATTTAGCTCAGTGGCATAAGCACCTGCCTTGCAAGCAGGCAGTCGTGAGTTTGATCCCTGGTACCAATAAAAAAGATTTTTAAAAAATGAAGACAAGGGGAGCCTGGTGTGGGGTGTACTCCTGTAATCTCAGTAATCCTATAATCCC